GCTGGGAACAGAAGGGATACTTTCTCAGGGCGAGGGGCTATGCCTAGGAGGATCTTGGCAAAGCTGGGATCAAGGAGCAAAACTTTCTGTGCCTACTGGTGCCCCAGTGACCCAGTCCCTCCTTCCCTCCCTCAACCCACCGGGTGGCTTTCTCTGCCTGGCATCTGACCTGTACTCACAGCAGCCACGAGCACCCAGCCCCACAGAACAGGAAACGGTACCATCCCCTGGCCCCACAGGCCCTCTCCAGGAGGACAGTGAGACAGGGGGCCAAGGGACAGGGCCAGCCAGGCAGGAGAACAAGATCCTGGCCTGTAAGGCAGCAATTAGTGGCTGACACTCTCTTGGCCTGAAACTCAAAAGGGAGTGGCTTTTCCAGGAAACTCAATATCTTGTCTCATCTTCTCATTGAAGCTCAAACCTCAAACTGCAGAACACTTTCCTGTTTCCTGCGTGCCAACACTCACTCACACACATGTATATGCACTCCCCATGTTCACTGAGTACCTTAATGAAGGTACTTGGCCCTGCACCCTCTCCACTGTGTCCCAGAGAGTCCAAGAACAGTGGTTCTGAATCTCAAGTCTTAGCAAGGGATTAAAATATCTCAATGCAACCAAGAGATTCTTGTAGATTGAATGAAGACACCTTCCCATAGGTACAGAGGCTTCTGCAAGGCTACACTGGGCAGTGGACAACGGACGCTCATCTCCACTTACCTATGCTTTCCTCTGTAAGGGCAAATACAAATTAAACATAAGAGGCTTAATTCTCCCTGTTGAAAATAAGGGAAGAGACTTTCCTCCTCTCCATTTTCTTAGAGCATTTACTTAAGAAAACCTGTAATTATAAGTTCTTTTGCTGTCTCTTTGAAATGTACATATAACTTTTTAAAAGCTAAATAACCTCTCACCAGCCTTCAGCCCCGGGAGGGTCTTTCTCAAGGACCTGCAACAATCTCTTTGAAATATAAATATCAAGGAAGATGTTTAACTTAATTTAGAGAAGATGCCTCACCCCGAGTTGTAAAACGATTTCGTCATAAAGATATGACGAGTTTATTTTTCCTTTGGATAAAGCCAATTAGCAAACACAGATGGAAACTCCAATGGACTTTATGATGAACTATGGATTAACAAAAGGTGATGTCAAGTCCTCTCATTTGAGGACCAGTGATGGCTTATCTTGAGAACACATGTGGAATGAGTTGTATCTGCTGGCTTATATAAAAGGCCAAGATTTCCTTCTGTCTTTGCCATCTCTTAACCAAACGCTTGTGATTTTATCACATTCTGATTTAATGCTTATTCAATAATAAAACTGTTCTCTTTCTCATCTACCTTTGTGGAGAGATTTTCTGAGGTGGGAAGAGATTCTGTTTTCAGTTATATTTTCCCACAACTCATAGTGCTGCCACTACCTAGCAGTGTGAACTTGGGCCTCAGTTTCTTCATCTGTGAGATGGAGATAATAATGAAAGCTATTCCATAGGAGTAAATGGATTAATACATGAAAATTTCTTAGACTAGAGCTTGGCACAGCCTAAGTACTTACTAAGAGTTGACTTCTATTCTTGGCAATGGCAAATTTCAAATTCAATTAAAATATGATGGAATTAATAGTAGCTTTTATCTTTCTTTAATCACCTTTCACTTAGCAATCAACTGAGATTAAAATCACAAGTTCTCGTAACTTTTTTAAATTAGGAGGCCTCATTTTTCAGAAAGTTTGGAAACCAATGATCTGGGAAATTCGATCTAAAAGGCCCTGTATCTACCATCTCTGCAACCTCAGAATTTTACAGACAAAAATATGAAGACACAGAGTTCAGCAATCAAACTTTACTCTATCAAGACCTGGGAGGGCACTACATTCCAGTCGGTGTTCCGAGGGTGGTGTCTGCCCCGTCACAAACAATGGATAAATGAGAGGGGGGTTGGAGCAGGGCAAGACCGCAGACCCCTCTCCCTGGAGAGTCCACACCACATGGCGGGGCACAACAGCACCTGGCATCTGGGGGTTGGCACCGCCCAGATTCACTTTGTTTTTTAATCTGCTGCAGTTTTAATACTTACAACAATGTGGTTCACAAGACTCTGGCAAATGATGACAGTTTTGGATGCCATTTGGTGACAACATAATATAACTCACTTGGCTTGCTAAAACTTTGAAATCGTGTGGTTCTTGATTTAAAAAAAGAAATACACATATGCCTTCCAGGTGTGTGGTGATGGATTATAATTAGTATTTGGTTGGTGAACATGATATAATCTATGCAGAAATATAAGTATAATGATGTACACCTGAAATTTATACAATGTTAGAAACTAATGTTACCGCAATAAAAATAAAATAAAATAAATAAGTAAATTTAAAAAGAAGAATATACATTCAATTCATATTTTTAAGAGTTCTGAAATGTAATTTATACATGCTTTTGAATGTCTGACTACCGAATGTTTGTTCTTAACTATCATTGCTGTTTAATGTAGCTCCAAGACAAAATTTTACACAAAATAGATAGTTGCTACTTTACAAAAAAAAATACAGATTTTCATTATGTACAATTTGTATATAGAGTGACTTCATTAATATTTTCTAAATCACACTCTTCCAAATTTTCGTAATCGAATTGTGCACAAAATGGCAGTCGCACCGCGTTCTAAGCAGCACTTGCTGATTCACTTTGGCCTTTTGCCACTTGATCCCCCCCAACCTCGTCACTCCAGAGAGGGAGAGAGATGAGGCTCTGGGAAGCATTGTTCAGATCACACATCTTCAATATCAGAAAAATGTACAGGCCAGGATAGCCGTGTCCTCATCCCAGCGAGCCATGTGCGTTTAATTCTGGGTTGTGCTGTGGATACAGACACTCTGGGGATGAGACGGTGAAAGGAAAACAGGCTGGGAGAGGGGAGAAAACTGTGGCTGGGGAAAAAGGGAGAAAAGGGAGAGAAGAAGGAGCCAGGCGGGGCCAAGGGCAGAGCTTCCCTGTGTTGCAGTGCTGGCTCCCAGCTCTTTCTCATGCCCCTGCCTCTCCCTGAGGCCATTGCTCTGGCTGGGGACAGAGTGCAGGATAAAGGATCCTGGGCCCATCTCAGTTTACAGGGCTGGCTGTCCTGTCTCCCCGCCACCCCTCCCTTAGCCTTAATCCCAAATGCGATTGGCATCGGAGTGTCGCTGACACTCCTGTTATCTCCTCCCTGGATTCCTGCTCCTCAAGATCAGTGCCTCCCCAGGCTCCTCCTCCTCTAGTGTTGGCCCAGCTCCCGCCCTGGGCCAAGGTAAGCCTCTTCCTTCCAGATGGCTGCCTAGCTGCCTATCTTCTCTGCCATGCCCAGAGTTGGGCATTATGGTTGCCCCCTTAGGAAATGTGTTTTCTCCCCCCACCCCGGCACCCCGATTACTACTCAGGTGCTCACAGCAGCTGCAAACAACCTCAACTGGGTCCTCACCAGCTTTGATGAACTCAGTAGGTAAAAAGAAGAATATGCACACCCTGAATGGAGGCATAAACAGACGCTCCAGCTTTTGAGCATCTATCCACCCCCGTTTGAGTTGTATTCCTGCATGGAGATGTGTGGTCCAGTTTCTGTGCTGGATGAGACCCTCAGGCACATGTCTTTGTTAATTTTTCAGAGCGTCTCCATTGTCTAATGGAGGAAGGACACCGGGGGTTAAATGAGATGATTTCCAGCTCCGAATCAGCTGTACCAGTCCCTGGTCCGAAAGAAATCTGGAGTTAAGGTGAGACTTTGGGCCTCTCCCTATCATCAAATGACATCAACTCTGTCCACCAGGATAAGCCGTGGTGAAAATGCATGGCAGGGGGCTGGGTGCCTTGTGGGTGTTGGTGACCTAAGGAAACAATGGACAGAGCACTGGCCTGGGGCCAGGGCACTGTGTGCTTATGTTCGCTCTTCCATCCACTGGACGGGTCATCAGGCACTACTCATGTTACCCCTTGGTGTTTTGTTTCCTTGCCTAAAAACTAAGTAGATTGGAATTTTGGGGAAAATTAAGTGGATCTGAAGTTTCTTTTTACTCTGGTGTTCTAATATTCTAACATTCCTCTGTGCTCTGATCGTTTGCATAGTACCGAAGTGCTTGCTAGTGGGGAAGTTGGGCCAGGACTCCAGTGGAGAGTCACTAAATGTGACTTCTCTGAAAGGTCATTTGTGGGAGGAAGGGTAAAGCGCAAAACATCCCAAAGATAAATTCACGTTTGTTCCCCGCTTTCTCCGTCTTCTCCCCCTCGCCTCCTCCTCCTCCTTGCTCCTCCCGGGAATGTGCAGAAACTCAAAGCTGCCCCAGACTTGCCCATCTGGAAAGCTGATTATGGCTCCTTCCCCTCTACGTGCCCTTCCAGAGATTAGTAGCAGAGACTCCTCCAGGAGATGGCAATCACAGCCTTCTCCTCACCCCCCTCCCAACAACTTCTCTCCTTCCTACACTGGAAAGGCAGGTTCACATGCAGTCCCACCCACCCCCTGCTAGGGCCTCAGTTCTATATGTAGACAAAACAGAAAATGTCCGTTAAAACTGGGATGGGAGACGGGTGCCAGAGGGCAGAGTGCTTAGTAAGGACATCCATGGATACAGAGATTGAGGGGCAGGAAAGGAGAGAGGGGAGAGAGAGAGAGAGAGAGAGAGAGAGAAAGAGAGAGAGGGAAGGAGAGGCAGGAGAAATTCAACCTCCTTGATTTTGTGGGGTACCCATTGGCAGGACACTGGGGACTGAGGTGGAAGAGTCTGCATGATTTACTCCCAAAAATTTCTTGCCAAGTCCCTGCTCCAGGGCAAGAGCAATCTGCGCTGTACCCACTCTGGACACCTCACACCTCCAGAGTTATGTAAGTGGCACCAGTCCGAACCCAGAGGATAATCATATCAGAAGAGCCCCAGACTGTCCCTCCCCCATGGCACAGTGCCTGGCACAGGTAGAGGCACATATAAGTCCAAGTTTTTGAGGGTTCATCTGCAGGAGAGGTGCTCCAGATGCCAGGAGCCATGGCCTGTGCCCTTCTCTTCAGGCTTCTCCTACTTATGGCCTTGGGAGCACCCTCCCAAGGCAACGGCCTCAGCCCCACATCTCACCTTCGTTATTCCAGGTTCCTGGATCCTTCCAATATCATTTTCCTGCGCTGGGACTTTGACCTTGAGGCTGAGATCATCACTTTTGAGCTCCAGGTCCGGACGGCTGGCTGGGTAGGCTTGGGTGTCACAAATCGCTACACCAACGTGGGGAGCGATCTGGTTGTTGGAGGAGTCCTGCCTGACGGCAATGTCTATTTCTCGGTAAGTCTGGAGGTGACTCCCTTCCAAGCCTGAGGGTCTCTTGCTGGGTTGAGGATGGCTCTGAGTCCAGGAAGGATCCACATTTTCCAAGCATATCCAGGCACAGGCCCAGAACACCAGCTGACAGCTGATCTCTCCCTACAGAAATGGTCCATTGGAGAGGTGCAATCTAGATCTTCCAGACTGTATGTCCCTAAAGTCCTAAGAGAATGGAGCCATTGGACTGAGAGAGAGAGAGAGAGTCCTGCACCACATACTTGCTAATAGCCCACTAAATGCAGGTCACTGGGGGAGAGTCAAAGCTGTCTGGGACATAGTCCTGATCCTCAATTTCCTTTAAGTTCAATCAGGTGGACCACAGCATAAAACAGCCTAATAACAACAGTAGCAGTTGCAATAATAATAGCTTAAGTTGTCATATACTTTTGATTAACCAGGCATTGTTCCAAATTCTTTGCATGTTAAACTTCACAGCATCACTATAAGTTGGATGATTGTTACCCCGTTTTGTAGATGAAGAAGCAGCTCACCTGTCTCCCATTCTCACTCATTCTGAACTGCATTTATATAAGGAAGGGTCAATGTGAAGAGCCACAGGAGAGGATGAATAGCATAGAGTGTTCAGAGAATAAGTGAACTTTCAAGGGCTAGGGATACAGGAATATTAGGATTTACGGAGATGAGATTTGAAACGAGAGACGTCCAGCAAAGTCAGGTGGTGAAACTCCATCAGACACTGTCCATCCCTCTTCCCCGTGAATCCACCATTGATGCCATGTTCTGCCCTAGGAGCACACTACGTAATAAAGAAGACCCAGGTTCTGCTAATTTAGTACCTTGAGGGAGCTAAAGGGACCCCAAGTGCTTCAAAGTTGTGACCACTTGGGGCTCCTGGTTCTTACACCTTGACCTTTACTGGACCCCAGGACCGGCACCTGGTAGATGAAGACACACTGGAGGAGGACGGGAGCCAGGATGCTGAGCTGCGGGGGCTAACGGAAGACGCTGTCTACACAACAATGCGCTTCTCCAGGCCCTTCCGCTCCTGCGACCCTCATGACCAAGACATTACGGTAAAATAGGGAGGGGAGAAGTGCATTTGATCACAAGCAGCTTCTACTTCTGGGGATGTGTAATCACTCCCAATCTGCAATGTCCATGCCTCTCAGGAAGGCAACTACAGTTCTGTGGGCTTCTTTCTCTCTCAGCCTTCACAGTACTGCCTCAATTGAGCCCCTTCTTGAAATCCACAAGTCCTCAACAGAGCGACTTCCCACTGATTCAGTGCCCACCCCACCCTCCTCGGGGTTCCCCTTTTGGAGAACCTTGTCTGATTTCACAGAACCTTTGTTCAGTGTCATTTACTCAATGTGGACACAGGCATAGAGAAAGAATGCGAGGGGAAGTGACTTCTCAACCTTTCCATCAAGTTAGCCTCCGTGGCAGAATTAGAACCCGACTAGTTCTGACCTCCAGTCTGAAGCTCCTTCCATTGCACTGTGTAGACGTGAGCAAGTGGCTTGTGTCAGTCCTTGGGTGTGGGTATGTGCAAAGTGCTGCTCATGGCAGCAGCACCTCAATGCCCATGACACCCCTAGAGTGACACCGTGAGAGTGCTGGCTGCCTACGGCCTAGATGACACTCTGAAGCTGGATCGGGAGCGTACTTTTGTCAAGTCCATCTTCCTGCTACAAATAGTCCACCCTGATGATCTTGATGTCCCTGAAGACACCATCATCCATGATTTGGAAATCACTGATGTAAGACCCCTCTGCCCCACCCAGCTGCCTCCAGCCCCCTTCCCACCTTCCCGCTCAATCCAGACCCTACTCTTGCACCCAACATTCAGTACATTCCTTGAATTGAAGTTACTCTGACTTCCCTCAATCCTCTGAGGACTGCCAAACCAGCCCTAAAGGGGATACCTTTCCCTGGCCTGTCCCTTCACCTGCTTCTCTGGGAGCCTCACTCCCACCCCAGCTCAGCTACTGTGTGTCCTTCTCCAGTTCCTCATTCCAGAGGATGATACCACATATGCCTGCACCTTCCTCCCTCTCCCCATCGTTAGCAAGAAACATCACATCTACAAGGTACAGTGAACCAGACAGCAGGACATTGCTAAGGCAATTCAATGGAGCGGTAGGCATGGTTGACTCTGACGGGATGGGTTCAGAAAATTGCCATCAAGAAGCAGGAAGGAAGTAGCTGGGAGAACAATGGGGACCAGGCCAGGTTTGGTGGACGTGATAGTCTTGTGATTTCCTGAGCCCAGAACTATAGCTCCCAGCACTGTTTTATTTGAGCCCCACAGTGCAGGAGATACTTTGATGAGGGTCATTAATTAACAAGTGTTTGCAAAGAACAAAGTGTAAGCCCTATCCTGGCCTCAGAATTGTGCTCTCTTAGCCCAAGAGGAGGTATAGGCTGGGGGGAAAATGACAAAGGGCTGTCAGGTCCGTGAAGTCTGGGTGGAGGGAACTCAATTTTGTCACCTAATTTCACACTTGAGTGATTTCAATTTTGATCAAACAAATAAAAGTATGATCTTACAATTTGTGGCAAATGTGTGGGAGCCATTTTTTTTCTTTAGAGAGAGAATCCAACAAGGCATAGTTACATGCTCAGGTATAGTGAACTGATGGGGTTATTAAGGGAAAGTCAGAAGTCTTGGGATGTTGCTGGCTAGATTTAGTGTGCTGTTCTCTCAGAGAAAGGGTTTACTAGGGTGGTGGCTGAGAGAGGAGTCAGATACAATGGGGGGAAATGATAGGTCAGGAAGAAAAGCAGAGGAAAAGGGGAAGAGAGAGAAGTGGGAAATGGGTGTAGTTTTATTTGAGGAAAAGGAATGGGGGAATAGGACCTGACATAGAAGATCTTGATGGTGCTCCACCCTCCGTCCCTGCCCAGTTTGAGCCCAAGATGGTCCAGCACAATGAGACGATGGTGCATCACATCCTGGTGTACGCCTGTGGCAATGCCAGTGCACTCCCCACCGGCATCAGCGACTGCTATGGGGCTGACCCTGCCTTCTCCCTCTGCTCGCAGGTCATCATGGGCTGGGCTGTCGGGGGCACAGTGAGTCCTGGGATGAGGGAAATAGGTGGCTAAGGGGGTGCATGTTGTTGGGCAACCAGGATTGTGGACTGACGGAACACTGGGAGACAGGGGAGGTCTGGGCTAAGGACCAGAAAACAAGCGCAGTCCCTAGGTCCCTGCCCCTTATTCCCAGCCATTTTTGCTGCCAAAGCTCCCTCCATCCAACAGAGTTACCAGTTTCCAGATGACGTGGGCATCTCTCTTGGGACGCCCTTGGACCCCCAGTGGATCCGACTAGAGATTCATTACAGCAATTTTCATAACCTTCCCGGTGAGCATCTAGAGCATTTGGGAAAGAACAGGTGATGAGGCTGGCTGACTCCTTTAGGAGCTGGGAAGGTGTTGCAGGATGCATGCTTACCCCTTTTGCTCACTTTGCTGGGCCTCTTTCTCCTCACATTGTGACCTGCTCTCCTGCCTCCTGTGATTATTCCTTCCTGCACCAGGTGTGTATGACTCCTCAGGGATTCGAGTGTACTACACTGCAGAGCTGCGCAAATACGACATGGGAGTCCTCCAGCTGGGCTTCTTCACTTTCCCCATCCACTTCATACCCCCGGGTGCTGAATCCTTCATGTCCTATGGGCTGTGTAAGACTGAGAAGTTTGAAGAGGTGATGCTGGGAGGCACACCCTCCCTAAGTTCCTTGCTCCCCATCACAGATCTGGTCTGATCACCAACACGCACAGACTGAGCCCCAGACTTGGAGAATGACTACAGCCTGGTGCTCAGGAAAATCACTAACCTGGATGTGCAAGGGAGGGAAGGAGTCAGGGTATTGGGGGCAAGGAGAGTGGGGCAGAGAAAGGGGCCAGGAGGGACCAGTAAGAACTACAGGCATTTGAGTCAGTCATAAAGGAAAGTGTCAGATATTGAGGGAGGAAAATCAAGGAGCAGGGCAAGAGGAGAGTTCTTAACAAACCAGATGCGTCTCCTCCCTGTCACAGATGAATAGGGCCCCAGTGCCTGACATACAGGTGTATGGCTACCTGCTCCACACGCACTTGGCTGGCCGGGCTCTGCAGGCCGTGCAATACAGGTAAGGGAAGATGTGGATTTGCAGCTTTCCCTTCTGCACGTGGGAATAAATTTTAGGAATAGTTATTTATTCTGCAGCATAAGGTTGTGCTTGGTTGGTAGAAAGGAGGAGCTAGAATTATGCTCATCATAGAGGTGACTGGAACAAGACAGTGGAAGGAGGAGTTTTTTTGTTTTGTGGGCAATCCGTGCCCACAGAATGACCCCACATACTGCTTCTTTGTTGATAGCCCCTCCCCACTTCATCCTCTTCTTATTCCTGTCTTCTCCCCTTCTATCCCTCTAGAAATGGAACACAACTCCGAACAATCTGTAAAGATGACTCCTACGACTTCAATCTACAGGAGACTCGAGATTTACCTCATCGAGTGGAGATTAAGCCAGTGAGAGCCTGGGGGAGGCACGGCTGGGGTTGGGGGAAAGGCAGGACCAGGACTCATTATTGTTGGCCAAGAGAGTTTTCAGACTGTACCAGTCCCTCTGTGTCTTACTTTCAGCTTTCGTGTCTCATTCTGAATAGGGTGATGAGTTGCTGGTTGAGTGTCACTACCAGACGCTGGACCGCGACTCCTTGACTTTTGTAAGTACCTCTCTCCCCACCATGGTCAGTGATAATAGCCTTAGAATAAAGCACCATCCCTGGCCTTGACTATCAGGTGACTCCGATTATTCTAGCTGAAGCCCTTTCCTTGGTGTTACCATTCACCTGGGGCTTTTCCTGCTCTCATATCTCCACGTTTATAAAATGGGTACAAGAATTCCCCACTTTCTCTGCCAATGATCCACTAAGACCATGGAAAGATAGTGTGTTACAGTGACTAAGAGCGTGGACTCTGGGCCTCATCACCTGGGTTGAATGTCAACATAATCATTACTAGCTTTCTAACCTTAGACAAGTTATTCAACTTCTTTGTGTCACAGTTTCCTAATTCTTAAAGGAATCAATATTACTATCTATCTCATAAGATTGTTGTGAGCGTTGATTAACACATGTAAAACATCCGGATCATTGCCTGACTTGTAATAAATGCTCAATTAGAGTTAGCTATTGTTATTATGGTCACAAGGAACCCCACCCATTATGTTTATTAGGAATGTTTCAGTGCTTGTAAGATTCAAAAGGGGTTGAGTGCTATTGAGGAAGAAAATACAGCCACACATAAATGATTATAATACAAGGTAGAAAGTGATATATACCACAAGGGAAGAATGGGGATAATATGCTAGAGGAATTCACAGGTAAAAGTCATAAGGTCCCACTACAGTGACCTGAGCATGCGACATATTTGCTTGGGTCCTGCTTTACACAAGTAGGGTTGGGGAATTCCAGAGAACCTCTAAAGGGAGTGGCTTTTTCAGGAAACTCAGTATCTTGTTTCTTCTTCTCAAACCAGGGCAGTGGCCGTGGAAATATAGAGGACAGGGCAGATATGTGGGCTATTTCTTTGGAAATAATATCAATAATTGTCCATCAATTAGAAATAGAGGAGGAGAAAGGAAGAGGTGTGATAAGGATTAGCAAATAACCATCAGTGAGCTGACTCTAGGTTAAGGGAAAAGGAAGGCAGCATCATTGATAGAAGGACCACCTAAACTATTTTCTGGCTACCTTATTTCCCTCTCTCTGCATGTCTTTGTATCTTTGTCTCTCCATCTCTGTCTCTTCTTCTCCAGGGGGGTCCCAGCACCATTAATGAGATGTGCCTCATCTTCCTCTTCTACTATCCCCGAAACAACATCTCCAGCTGCATGGGGTTCCCTGACATCATCTACGTGGCCCAGGAGCTGGGGGAGGAGGCATCAGAGTGAGTCATCCTGGAAGATAAGACCCTCAAGCATGACCTCTAGAAGTTAGATCACTTAAGTACAAATTCTTTGTCTGCCTTTTTCTTGCACACTACCTGATTCAGTTAAAGACTGCGTTTACTTTCAAGTAGTGACCCTTAATTATTTGGGGCTAAGGGTCCTGTCTGAGATTCTGATGAAAGCGTGGAAACTACTTTCCAAGAAAAATGCACAACTGTGCAGACACACTTCATTTCACACACAATTTCAGGGCATTTTCAGGTTGCCTGAAGTCACTCTATCAACTTTCTTGGACTTCATGGCCCCCAGATTAAGAAGCACTTCTTTAAAGAGTGGACGACTCTGACTTAAAGAGTCAGAAGATTCTCTTTTTCACTTTTAAAAATTCTCATCTCTGAGTTCTGATGATATTTCTCCTCTTGCCAAACTCACAATTGTCTCATTGAGTTGTAAGACATTCCTATGGTTTGTGTCAACATGGAAATTATGCTAACCAAAGTCAGGGTATTTTACACATGTTTTGTCAAAGCTTTAAGTCAACCCTAAATTATTGTCTGTTCCCCCCACCTACGGCAGTTCCATGGAGGCCATGATGGCCATGAACAATGTTGAGTGGACCCCAGAGAGCATTAAGAAGGCTGAGAAAGCCTGCAAGGAGGCCCAGCAGACGGTGATAATAAAGACCATTGACGTGAGTGTTCGTTCCAGGAGACACCACCCTCTCAGGGTTAGGGAGGGAGGGGTGTGCGATGATGTTGGCCAAAGACAGGAACAGAAGAATGAGGGGGGTGAATGACAATGGCAGGAACACTGGGTCTGGGAAAGAAGGGCTGGGGAAGCAGAAAGATGGGCTGATGCTGCTCTGGGCTGTAGGGGTGACTGGAGTCTCCCAGTTATCCTGGGAGGCTGCAAGGACTGGGGCTAACCAAGTAAGGTCAGAGGAGAGGAAAGGAGGTGAGGATGCTCCCACGTTCACCCCTTGTCTTCCTTCTCCTGCAGGAGATAGTGGAAAACACAACAGGCTGGATTTCGGAAATCATCCGTGCTCCTCGGGGGCCCTGCTTGGAGTCCTCAGGAGGCAAAGTGGAGCCCCAGGACAAAATCCCTGAAGGCTTCAGGGCTGCACCAATGGCCCTCTCAGGTTCTAACACTGCTACCTGGAGGCGCCTCCCCCTGGCTGCCCTCCTGTTTGGGCAGGGAGTCCTGTTTTTGCTCCTTACCACTCTGCAGGCTGGAGTCTGATACTGTCTCCTCATGTCACATACCCAGGCCCCTCTCTGCTCAGGCATCCCCTTATCATCAAACACAGAAACTCCCCTCTGCTTTGGCCCCCAAAAATTCCCCACCTTGCCTCTTCCCATGATCCAGGCCATGACACTGCAGGTCTAGGCATTTTATATGTTCCATAAAGGTTCTTCTATGATGAGCTATGCAAGTCATCCTTTAAAGCTTTAGAAGCACTGATGGGACCACATATTTTCTGACAAAATCTGGATTCAAGGCTGAGTGTGAGACTTCTCACTCTCTGAGAAGTCTGTTTCTCCAGCTCACTTAGGGATGCTACATTGGGAGCATCTTGAATGCATCTTGAATGCAGAGGGCAAGCCCTGCAAACCCTGCTTGGCCCATGTTGACCTTGGAGGGGGCTTCTGTTTTTCTTTCCTTCTGACATTTTTGCCCAACCCTCCCTGTGAGACAGAGGCAGCAAGCTGCATGTGTGATTTGTGGTTAATGGAGGGGGTCTGTTTATAAAGGACAAAGTTCAAGACATCATATTAAATAGAACTCGACTCGCTTCTTGTTGCCATCTCTTTCTTTTGGTTCAGGAGAGGCAGCTGGGAGGTCTCTTGAATGGCTCAGTGTGAGGTATCCAGAGGACATTGAGGAACTGATTGCCCAAAATGCAACATCTAATACAGCCCTCGCTCTCCTCACTTGTGCCTCTATACTGTCAGATGATCTTTATTTATCTCACCAAGTGTCACATTCTCAACACTCAGGTCACCAGGTGTTGAGAACCTAACTGGCGAGACAGGCTGAACTGGGATCTGAGAACAGGTCAAGGGCAAAGTGGAGAGAGACAGTCCTTAGCCCCAGAGCCCAGGGCATGTCAAGGAGGTCCACGTGGACAGAGCAGGGACTAGGTGCAAATGGTTTGTGAAGTCAAGCTGCAGTTTGCAACCACAGTTGACAGAAAAGTCCAATGGTGGTGGCTGCTCTGAGAGCTTCTGAGGGCATTCTGTCTTCTAAGCTTGAGAAGCTCTGCACTACCTTGTCCTTTGAGATGTAAAGTCAGCACGCTAGTCTATGAGTTGCCTTGCTCAATGTTCATGTCCTCAGGAAGGGACCCCTCCTCTGGCTATCCCAAGATGTTTAGAGGGATCTTAGTTCCCTGGAAACCGGGGATCTGGCCTCAGCAAACTCCTTGCCACTGCTTGAGGGGCCAATTGGTTTAACACCATAGCCCTCTTCCTGGCAGAGCAACACCCCTCCTCTGGAATTGGTGAGATGCATGGGAGGTAATGAGCCCACTACTTTTACTGTCATTCTCCTTGAAGAATTCGAGACACTCCATTCTGAGATTCTACAGAACGCTCAGTGTTCACATTCAGCTCCTACAGTCTCAGTGCTAGATCTTTTCAGTGTTTGTGGTCACTTCTGGGCCTTACAATGTGTGAGCAGAGGGACTGGCTGTCCTTAAATCAAAGCTCATGTTTACAAAAACCTAGGCTTACCTGAAGCCAGAGGATTGACTGTGTTCACTGTTGGGTGTCTCTGTTGTCACCATTCAGGGAAGTGGAGGCTTTCCTTTTACGTAATAATCCTAAAATGTGATTGACGCCATTTGGCAGCTGCTTGAGGTGCACAAATTACTCTCTATAGTATGAGGAAATACAGGTAAAGACGAGATCTAGACAGACAATTAAAACAACCAGAACAGACAAGTTCTCTGTATTTGCCCAATTAACCAACAAATCTGACATTTCTATTTCAATCTATATTACTCAAGGCCCCCCAAGCAAATTCTTCCAACCCCAGTCTTTCAAGTTAATAACAACAACAAAAAAACACTTTCTGGCTGGTTTTAGATGCCAACCCTTGGTTTGTGCTGCAGCCTTAGTCTCAGGTCTGCCCTGACAGGTTCCAGCCAGCTAGGCAACTTCCCCAAGGTTCTGCAACCAGAATCTTCCAATGGCTCCCTTTGCCCAGCTCATGGCCCTGTGCCACTCCCAGGCACTGCTGCTCTCTCCTTTGTCCTCCTTCAATTTCTTGTTCTTATTTAGCTTTCCTTCTTTCATTTTATTTTCTCTCCATCTGCTGACCTCAGCGTTTAGTGATCATGCACATATTCACTGAACACCATCTACATGCTAAATATTAGGTCAGAATAGAAGCTACAAAAAAGAACAGGAAATGGGACCATCCCCTACCCCCCCACACACACACACACCCTTGTGGAGCTCTGGTCAAGCTTCTATAAGCCCCTGGGGGGCCATTTTCTCCTTGGGCTCTGACCCTGTCCCAGTGCCATCCATCATTTTCTCCTGACTGCCTCGAGAGAGGAACCATGTTTATATCAACCTATAGAGAATGACATGTGTCTATAGTTAAAAGGGATGCGTTTATACTATATACATATTGGACAGGGAGCTCAGACAAACACTGCTGGGGAAATGTTTTAAAACATTCTTGCATGGGGTAAAAGCCTTAATTAGATGACCCCAAGGTTTTTTCTAATTTATGTGCTTTGTGATTGCAGTTTCCTGATGGCCTAATGAGACACTGTAAGGGGAAGGTACTGAAGTTGAGGTGGAAAGGGATGACCCCAACTTCCACCTAGAACATTCTGTCACTTGGGCCTCTCTGTCATCCCTCATCTCTCAGGAGTCTTTAAGGTCAGGTCAGCTCTGAGTGACCTGAGACTATAACCTCTTTTCCACCTCATTTCCTCTACTCAAAAACTCCATATTAAATGTGGAGGGTAAATAAAGGGTTTATTCCCTCATTACTTTTTTCTGTGGTTCTGTGAGGACAAGAGGAACCACAGGCTAATGTTTACAATGAGTCTAGTCTGTCCTGTGGAATAAGAATATTTTGATACATTTCAAATTTATAGAAAAATTGCAAGAATTCCCGCACACCGTTTACCTAGCCTTATCCATTGTGCATATTTTGCCCCATTTCTCTCTCTCTTTCTCTCCTTCCTTCCCTTTCCTTCTCCTCTGTTTTCTTCTCCTTCTCTTTCTCCTTCTTCTTCTTCCTTCTTCTTCCTCTTCTTTCTTCCTTCTTTTTTTTTCCTCCTTTCTCTCTGCCTCTCTCTCTCCCTCTCACTCTCTCTCCTTCATGAAGCTGATAACTCTGCAAACTCTGTTTGCTAGAATTCTCATCAAAGTCTAAATTCCTGCTACTACGTAATCAGTTGAAACTGAGCGGGAAAGCTCCCCAACTCCACTGCTCCGCTGACATAGTGGCTCTTAACCTTGACTGCGTATTAGAATCACCAGGATGGTGGGCGCAGAGCCCAGGCATTAGTAAATTACTAAAGTGTCCAGGTGTTTCCAATATGCATCAAAGATTGAGGACCACTGAACTAGAAGTTCAATTGCTCTTGACTAGTCTATTTCCTGGACAGGCAGGAGTCACATTCTGACTTCACACATTTAAGCCACGGCACAGGCACTGACCAATCAGAGTGGACACCAGTGAAGAAGGGACCTGGAAGTCCCTTGATTTCCAGGAGTTAGAATTTTAGTTGCTGAATTGTGAGGATATGTGGGGATCTCAGAGAAGGGGCCCCTTTTGGGGGGCTCAAGGAAATGGCTATTTACCAAGCATTACTCAAAAGAGAAATAGCAAATAAAAAAGAGCCTTTAAAATGCCAAGTGATGAATGTAGAAAGAATGCGAAGTTAGAAAATCACCCTTTGACAAAGTCATAGTAATAATTGATTCAGGCAAAAATCATCAATGGATAACAAAAGAAATAGGAGAGGAATCAGATAGTTCATAGTTTCAAAGTGTCTCCTCACAATACGTTTATTAATTACTCTGAGAAAAAAATGGTAACTTTACTGTGGAGAAACCTGGCAGACACCACCTCAACCAAAGTTAACATCACCAATAATGGACAAATAGCCAGTATGTGCCTCCTGTTATGATACAACAAGAAGGACACAGTATCAATTCTATGTTATTCCAGCCAAAATGTATAGCCTCAATGAAATATTAGATAAACCCAAAACCAGGGATATTCTACAAATAGCTGGCTTGTAATCCTCAAAATGTCAAAATCAAGAAAGAAAAAGAGGGACTGAGGAATAGTTCTGGAGTAGGGGAGTCTAAAAGGCTAACCAAAATCCAATTAAACAATTAAATGCAACATGCAACGTGTGCTCCTGGGCCAAATTCTTTTTTGTTGCTGTTGTCATTATTGTTCTTTTGTTTTTTCTATAAAGAACATTATTGAGATGATTGGTAAAATTTGACCGATGTCTGTGCATTAGACGGTGGTATCGTATAAACATCAATTTCCTGATTTGGCTGGTTATATTGTAGTTATATAGGAATACATTCTTGTGTTTTAGGAAATACACACCAAACCATTTTGTGATATTGAGATATCTTCTTTACAAACTCTCAAATTACATGTGTGTGTGAGAGAGAGAGAGAGAGAGAAAGGAAAGAGAGAGAAGGTGAATATCGTGAATAATTTATAATTTATGGATAATATTTGGGAAGTCTAGGTAAAGAGTATGCTGGAGCTCTCTATACTATTCTTACAACTTTTCTCCAAGCTTATTTCGAAATAAAAATGTTAATTTTAAAAAGAAACCAGCACAAGATCTATACAGACAGTATAAAAAATGGAGTAAATATTTTTTTAAAGGCACATAAAGAGTAACCTAGGGAAAAAAAAAAACAATTTAGATAAGTGTTAGCTTTTCCAAGCAAGAGTTTTTGACCACTCTCAGCAGAGAACTTCCAGTCTGCAAGCTACAGTATACCCTTGGCTTAATTTTAGCTATCAGGCATAACAAGTGAGTAATAACAAGTATTTCTTAGAGCTACAAATCACTAGAATTATATAATTATTTAAATAGCTACAAGACAGCAACATTTAAATAAAGGTAAACAAGCCTTTTTTAAAAACTACATGTCATGAGAGGGATGTTTGAGAAACGGAGCTTTAATCTCCATGATTACTAGGAAAATAGCAGCCACCATCAAAAAGCTGAAAGGTATCAGAGAGATGGTTTAAGATGTGAAACTAAAGCACATGAGTAGACCCCTGAGGAGCCAAAATTTATCTCTGTACCAGGAAAAATGTTTTAAAAATTAATACTGCCCAACAATTCAGTAGGCAACCTTTTGAGGAAGTATTTAACCATATGCTGATAAGCACTGGAAAGATATGGGTTAGGGGCAACTGTTTTATGAGGTGGAAATTTTAAACTACATAGTCCCTAAAGTCTGTTGCAATTTGGGTGTGTTTTTATCTGGGCATCTATTTAAATAATTCAATAAAAGACTAAATTTTTCTCAAGCTGGAATTAGAAATATATATCTTTATAAAGGTCATAAGAATTGTTATAATCATAAATTATACTTGCCAGGAAGAAAAATACAATCTCCAGTCTAATTTGAAATTAGAATACCTTGTATTACTCTTGTAATTATCATGTGATAAAACTTTTAGCGTTGGGCAAAAGCGGTTTCCCAAAGATCTTGAAACATCTTGTGCCCAAATGAGTCAGCCCTTGCCTGGGTTGAGATAAACTTTTCTGAGGTTTTTCCATCACCCTGTGCCATCAAAATGCCTCCAGCCATGGGAGATTGCTGCTTGCTCCTCCCAGGACAGTAGCAACTCCATCTCACTTCACACCCCATTCACTATGACGTGATTGTAAAATGTGTATGGCTTATTTCAATAAATATTTCAACATTTTTATCCTATTTGGACAAAACTTAAGTGAATAGAAGTATAATCATGTGCAGATAAGTTGAGGAACAACGATCATCCCGTCCACACCTCAGTGCGGAGACTGGACAGAAGTCACCTTTGGGAGAACATCGTGAAACTCAACGTCTCACTGTTAGAGCAGGAGATAAGCCAAGGCCTCTCCAAGCTATAGTGCTCACATTTATTCAGTGAATCACCATCAAATAACAGTGCTCTCTGAAGAATGTGATGAAACACTATTGTGTTTAATTTCAGCATACAAACCAAAGAAAATTTTACTGGCAGAAAATATGATGTTTGTCACATAAAATAATTTTCATGAACTCACACACACACACTGTCCATATGAACTCTATTGGCTATTTCAAAATTTTTTTTGTCTGCTATTTGTTCATACATTTTGTTCTCAGCTAAAGCAACATAGGAATAGCAGCGCTTATAAAAGTTTAAGAAACAACATAGAAACATAACACAAAATTGGGATAATTATATCCATTAACTTAACTATTCTGTAAAGTGAGGAAAGAGGGGCATTATTTAATTTCACAGTGAAACATTTTGTTCCTGCTCAGGAAAATAAGAAAACCTTTTCCCCAGAAGCACAGCTTGAGACACGCTAGAGACACCTCTGGAGCACAGTTTTCTTTACAAAACTTCAGTTTGAAAAAAGAGACTCAGAGTAGCCTTATTATAAAGTACCAGCAGCAAGGGCAAACTGCTCTATTACCAGGAAACCCAAGGAGAAGAAGAAGGAAAAAGTTTAAATAGACATAAGAACACTCGTGGAATTATATAATAATAATAATAATAATAATAATAATAATAATAAACCTTTGTATAGCATTTAGCAGACTGAAAATGAACTTTCGTGTACATTGCAGTTCCAATGGTTACCCCACCTTATAGATGAGGAAACTGAGGCAACGAAAGGAAAGGACTGTCCACCTGAATCGATAGTCCCTGCGCCATCTGGTCGCAGGTGGTGCTCTTAGACCTGGTCCCACAGAGTTTCCTTCTGTATTCGGGTCTGATGTAAGCACCAAAGCCAGCTAAGCTCAAGACGGTGGAGAAAGCTGATATTTGCTTTGACATCTTCCCTCCCCAAGTTGTCTGAACCTGGTTCCAGGACCACATCTTGTGCATAGACTCTCAAGTTTCAATTCTCAAGTTTTTTCAAATGTCTTCAGTAAGTCCAGGTTTTCTTTTTTTCTGTTTTGTTGTTGTTGTTCTTTTTTTCAAGAGCACTTACCTTTTTAAAACTCGGTACTTTCGATTATGGTTTATTTGTACATACAAAGGGATTGAATTTCAGTTACTACAGAACTATGAGTCTTGGAACAAATTCATCCTCAGTTTTCCAACTCCCATGCGCTTTAAGCTAAGCCTTTGGCCAACTAATCTGCCCTGGTGTGGTGGGCTGGCAGCAGGATCCCATGTGCCTTGGGACACAGAGCACTTTGTCCCATATCAGGGTTAGTGATGCCAACAAGACAGGGGCACTGGGGATCCCTCAGTAAAGACATCAATAAGGGAGTCTGTGACCAGGTCCACTGGTACAGTTTAGAATTAGGAGTTTTGTTTAGTTTTGAGTTGGAAGGTCAAGGTTAAGATATAAGGTCTATCAACTTTGTTAAGAGAACTGTAGCTTGTGGGCAGATTCCAAAAGGCAACTGAAACTAACTGATGAATCTGGCCCCCTCATGTGGAACACCATAAAGCCATCCAGACAATAATACAGCTGTGGTGGTGGGTCAGAAGACTGTGCAAATGTGTTCACAGTAGGTGATAGACTTTCGTGTGGAGTTAAGAACCTTAAGCCACAGATGCTGGAGTTCCTACATGCTGCGGTAGTTCACAGTACAGTTGTCGCTCAGTATCCAGGGGGGGATTGGTTCCAAAACCCTGCATGAATACCAAAATCCACCAATGCTCAAGTCCCTTCTGTGAAATGGCATAGTATTTGCATATCTTCCCGTATACTTTAAATCATCTCTAGATTTCATATAATACCTAAAACAATGTAAATGATATGTAAATAATTGCTATATTGTACTGTTTAGGGAATAACGACAGGAAAAAAAAATCTATACTTGTTCAGTACAAGCACAACCATTGTAGGCCTTTCTATCCACGATTGGTAACAGATTCTGAAAGCTGACTGTATAGTATTTCACCAGGACATGAGAGTGGAACTAGGACGTTGTTGCCTTAGGAAAATGATCCTCAAACTTTTTGGTCTCAGGACCCCTTTACATTCAAATTTAGCGAAGACTTTGTGTTTTGTTTAGGTGGGTTATATCTATTAATATTTACTTCATTAAAAATTAAAATTGAGTCTTTGTAAAATATTTATTTTTTAACTCATGAAAAATAATATATCAGCTACATGTTAACATAAATAATACACTTTTATGGAAAAACAATTCTATTTTCCAGAGCAAAAAGAAATTAGTGAAAAGAATGACATTATTTTATGTTTTGTAAGTCTGTTTAATGTCTGGCTTAATAGAAGACAGCTAGATTCTTGTATCTGACTCTACAGTCATCTATTGTGACATCACACAGCACAGACTCTCTGGAAAATGCCACTCTAGACTAATGAGAGTGAAAAAAGCAAATAACAACACAGTAGTAGTATGAAAACAGAATTGACCTTATGGACCCCAGAGAGAGTTTTGGGGCCTCCCATGGGTCCCCAAACTACATTTTGAGAATACTATCCTAGGGTTAATCCTTGAGTAGCACCCAATTGGCTATATTTGGTTATGACCACGAGTCTATTCATGGAGGTCTGGGTGATCTAAGAAAGTAATAGATCAAGGATAAATGTTGAATTTGAATATGAAAGACCAAGAACATACTGAGAGTCCTAGCACACTAAAGGAGAATGTGGACAGTAATACAATAAGGGAAGATCTGGGAGAGAAAAGAAAAAGCAAATAAAATTATGAACTCTGATCCCAGAGTAAAGACTGTCTTTCCTATGCCAAATCTTTACACACTCATCTCCACCTGGGTGATTTCTGGTCTATAGAAGATTTAGAGCATTGTAAGTGAATCCAGGCATTATTGGTAACAGCCAGGGCCTAAGATTATCTCATAAGTAAGATTAATTGTAATTTCCTGGAAGTACTTTGAATGTCTATAAACAGAAGTACTTATCAAATCTATAGTAAGAGTGTCAGTACCTATGGAAGTAATGGTTGCAAAGTTTGGGAAGTTATGTTTTTAACATCTATAATCATATTTTTATCTTCTATAACAGTAAAAGTAACATAAAATATTCCTAATTTAATTATTTCAGTTCCTGGAGTCAAAGTATATACAAGATCTACAGTGGTAGCATTTTCCATATCTATAGCTAGAGCTAGATCTCTTTAGAAGCAATAATACTTTCAGTATGTGTAATAGCAAATTACTATATTGGTAGCCACAGTATTTGGAAAAGTCTATAGGAAAATAAAGTGTGCTTTTTAGCATTACTAGTTAAATAGTCTACTATGATATTAATAACTGTTGCTATAGTGGTCCTTTGAGTGCCAGGTATCACCAGCGCTCTCAGTTACAGTATTATGTCCTGTAACTCAAGAACAAGTTGGGTTATTTTAATAACTACATCTAAAGCAATAGTATTTACAGAGCCTAATGTGGTATTATTTAAGATGACAAAATTATCTTTGAAGTCTGTAGCAAGGATATATAAAATATCTACACTTTAATTGATGGAGCTTCAGGGCTTAGAATTATAAATAAAAAGAATATATTCCACAGCTTCTTTTATCACACCTATAAAGTTAGTAATGGATGCATCTTTAGACATGTCTGTAATGTTTACAGTGCTTTGAGTAGCCATTTCTATAAAAGCTGGTGCTAATATTTGTGAAAACTTGCATAGCTAAGATCATTATCTGTTCATTGATTTTCTATATCTGTAATAGCTGTTTTAAAGAGATATTTATAGTAGTTATCCTGCCTTGAGTATTAATCATGGGACTAGAGTAGCATTTATGGCATTTGCAATATAAGCAGATGCAGTAGCAGAAACATCTATTGTTGTTCTATCAGGAGTGGTAGTATTTACAGCATATATGGTAATATTTGTAATATCTGTGGTTGCATTAGTTACAACAATAGGTAAATTACTAGCTGCAGAATTTGTTGTTACCAGATAGTCAGATGCTGTATCTAGAAGAGCAGTCATTGATGTGTCAGAGGCTGTGGTATTTGGAATAGAAACATATGTAGCGTTACCTGAAACTTTGTTGAAGTTATCTGCATCAGTAATATTTACCTCATTCCTCGTACTGTTTATAGTGTTGGTGGAAGAAACAGGAGTGGTACGTGGAATGTAAGTGTTTGTAAGGACTGTGTCAGCAGTAGTCATTGAGTTTGTAGTTTTTGTGCTGAAAATATTTGTAATGATGGTGGTAGTATATGCTGTAATGGCATTTCCAGTTGCTCTTGTAGTAGGTTCAATATCTGTAGTGTTTATATGTGAGGAAGTGGCAAAGTCTTGAGTACTAGCAATTATGGAGTCTGGAGTAGTAGAAAAACTATTCACTGTAGGAATAGTTGTGATGCTACCATCAACAGTAGTTGGGCTATCTCTAGTGGGAGTGCTTATAATGTTAGTAACACCCGTTATATTGGTAATGTTTGGATTGGTGGTGCTTGGTATAGTGGTATTTCCAGTGCCCATGGATGTGGTATTGAAAGCATGAGTAGGGATATCTGGGGGATAAGTAGTGGTAATGATTCTGGTAAGTGCCAGTGAAGATGCATTTTCTGTGGTGGTGGTACCAGAGGTGCGTAGAGGAGGTAGAGATGGAATGACTTGAGTGGTAGTTTCTACAGAAGTAGCATTTGTAATCATAGTAACTGTGGTGATGCCTATAGTTGTGTTTGTATTTCCTGTAGTGGTAATATCTGAAATATCTGTAGGAACTGAATCCATAGTTATGGATGTAGTACTTGTGGTAGTAGTGTTGATGGTAGCTGGGTTAGAAAAATTTGTGGAAATTAACATTGTGTGGCTTAACGCCTGTGTTGTAGTAGTAGGAGAACGGGGAGTAGTGAGCTGCGTGATGTCTGTGGTGGCAGTTTTAACATCTTCAGTGGGAGGGGGAAAGGAAATAACATCTTGGGGAGTAGACACTAGGGTTTCTGTAGCAGTTGTCACAGCAAAGGTAGTATCTGTGGAGTTAAGTGCACTGGCTATTGTACTGTTTGTAGTGAGGCTATTTATTGAATTTGTTATGATGGGAGAGGTCCTATCGTCCAGATTTGTAGAAGTTAATATTTCAGTATTAATAGTGTTAAGGGAGGCAGCAGTTATTTCTTCTGGAGAGAAAGTGCTTATAAAATCTGTTGTAGCAGGTTTGGTATGTGCAGTAAATTTGTCTGTGGAAGTAACTGTTGTATCTGTAGTGCTGGTAGTAGCAACTGTGGCATCTATCATTACGGTACTTTGTGTATCTGTGGTGTTGAAGAGAGTGGTGTTTGCATCAGAAGCTGTAGAAAAATTAGTGACTGTATCAGTAGTAAATGTACTATTAGTTGGAAATGTGTTCAAACTAGAAGTAGTAGAGTTAGAAGTAGAAGTAAGAGTATGGATAGGAGTGGTGGGAGGAGTTTGGAAAGAAGTGGTCACGACAGAAATAGTATTACTAGTACTATTACCACTAGACATTGTAAGGGAAGGAGAGTTTGTAATAGGAGCATCATTACTAGTGCTGGCAACATTAGTACCTGTAGGAGAAGTGGTCACCATAGCAACAGTAGTGTTCACAGCATGAGTACTTTCAGAGAAAGTAGTCATAATAGGAAAACTATTGCTAGTAGTATCAGCACTAGTATTTGCAGGAAAAGGAGTTGTTGTAATTGGAATGTAATTGGAATTGTAATTAATGCTAGTAGCATCAGTATTTTTGAGGGAAAGAGTAGTGGTAATAGGAATAGTAGTACCATTTGTCACTTGAATAGCACTTGTTGAGAAAGGAGTGGTTGTGATAGGAAGACTAACACTAGTGATAGCAGTAGAAGTATTTGTAGGGGAAGGCATAGTGGTATTGTAAACAGTAGTACTAGTTGTAACTTCAGTAGCACTTGTTGGAATAGGAGTGGTTGTGATAGGAAGAGTAGCACCAGTATTAGCAGTAGAAGTATTTGTAGGGGAAGGCATACTGGTATTGGGAACAGTAGTACTACTTGTAAATTCAATAGCACTTGTTGGGAAAGGGGTGGCTGTGATAGGAAGAGTAGCAGTAGTCCTAGCAGTAGTAGTACTTGTACTAGCAGAACTAGTGATAGTAATCTCAGAAGTGGTAGCCTTAGTAATAGATGCAGAAGGATGTAGAGAACTCATTGGGAAGGTACTTGTCATGGGTGTAGTAGAAATGATAGGACCACCATAAATCCAAGTAACTTCAGTTAACTTTTCCAAGCTGATATCCTTGTCAGTCAATTGAATAGTTAGTGTCTGCCAGAAAAGAAGAGAGAAAATTGGTATTTTAGAACTTAAACATCACATTTAAGTCATACCTCAAATTACAGTTTAACAAAAAATGCTGTATTCATTCTTTTCCCAGAGAGTAATAGAAGGATATGAAGTTTCCTTTTCAGGTCACACTGATTCCAGACAGATAAATATGGAAGGCTGTGCTGTTTGCATAATCCCTGTGCTGGAAATCTCTTTCTTTCCACTTCATTTTGTCAGAACCATAATACTCACAAGTATTTTCAGCTTTGATTAAAAACAATGTTTATAAAAATCTCTTGGCTTTGCCACTCGATTTAAACCTTGCAGAGGGCAGGCTGGTTTCATGTTTTCACCATCCCCACACATAGTATAGTGCCTGGCTCATAATAGGCATCTGATATACTACAAAGTTTCTCAAAAGAAGGTGTTCAAAGATTTTCTGCATTAGTCTTAACTGAAAGTAATTACTGTAAAGGGTGGTTTTGAACTCAATAGTCCAGGGAAACTGCTTTGAAGTACAGAACTAGAAGAAACTATAATCTGAGTGTTCAGAGGGTCATTTTCCAAAATCCAAATACCAGCAAGGCACTCTTTTTACCTTTTAGAAAACAGGAACTATACTCACCTATTTTTACTTTTCTAAACCACCCCCTATGCGTCACAGGATCCATATTTATGATAGGTCTGGTGTTCTAAAGTGGGATACTTTTCCCTTTGTAGTTACTCTTGATACCTCATTGATAATTTGTCTTCCAATTAATTAAATAATTGGCTCTCCTACTAGAGGGTCTACTAGAGTCTGCTAATTACGTCACTCTGTTTTGTTAACCAAATGATTTTTCTCACACCACAGGTGGGACATATTCATTTTAATGATTGCCGAAGTTTACTGCCAATTTTCACCAACCTGTAAGATCTATCAATTTGACCAGGGATATGAGCAATTTCAGGAAAGAGGGGAAAAATCTCCAACAATTTCAGGGGATCATTCCCTGTTTTAGCCTCTGCCACAGAAGTAAAGTTTTGTTATGCTAGCCTGGGAGACCAACCTTGACATATAGTACAATTTCTTTGGGAAACACATGGAAAGGATTTCATCAGATCATTGATCATTGATCCCTGGACTACACTGGGAAGACTGCTAATATGCATTTTACGATATGATTCAACAACTGTTCAAGAACATACCTATTGCACATATCTGTAACCTTTCTAATATAAGTAAATATAACAATAATAATAATAGTGGGGATAATTTTTCAGAATAATAAAACTAACTTATGAAATGATAACATTCATTTGAGACATACCTGATTGTAAGGGTCACTCTGGAAATTTGTCTCCACGAACTGCTGGTTGTCATAGGTGAAAGTGACTTGCGTCACAAACATAGAGTTTATCCCCCAGATTCGAATATATCCAACTTTCAGTGGATTCAAGTCACTCAAATACATATTGTGTATAATCTGAATTTGCAATATGTTCTATAGAGAATATATAAAGAGAAAAAAATACATAATACATCTGTTGATAGACTGTGTTCCACATTAAAATGTTAAGAAACCTCAAATTACTGTTGTACTGGTTTGCTGTTTTTATTCTTAATTAAATACTTCATGAAGACGTAATTCCTGAGTACCTGCTACAATAAATTTGATGATGCCAAAAATATGTTTATGTATCAGTATTATGAAAGTTATTTTACCTATATTATTAGTAACTCTTACAATGATTTTTAAAAGAAAGCAGCCTTATCTCTGTTTTATAGGTGAGGAAACTGAGGCTCTGGGAGATGAAGTGAGTAGTTCAAGACCATGTAACCAAATGACATAGACATGGTTGGAATCATGATGGGCCTATGTGAATGGTACTGTATGAGTTAACACAGCATGAAGAAAGAATTTTGGCAAACAGTACCTAAACTAAGGACAGTTTGAAATAAATATAGGAATTATCTAAATCATGAACTGTTTAAATATCAATATAAGAGTTAAAATAATGTGAGATAAGTCATGAGGCGGTACATGATTAAGGCCCAAATGAAAATCATAGTGAATGTTTGTTATGAGTGTTAATAGAAAGGAAAAATCACTATTGGGATAGGGTAGTCAAGAAAGGACTTAGGAAGGACATGGAACTTCAGAAGGCCTGGAAGGATGGATAGCATGTATAAAATGAAATGAATGGGAAAGAGAACGGGAGGCAGGGACACACTGAACAAAGGCACGCTCATTGAATGCAAGGGCTACTGCCGCTGGTGCTGAGAAAACGGAAAGGAGACTGGTTAAGTGTGAAAGGTAAGATGATGAAGATTTTATACAATAAATCAAGGAGATACTTGCAGTAGAATGAAGCTATAAACTCCTCGACTCTGGTGGCAAAAGTAGAAAGAAAAAGAAATATGTTCAACTGACATTGTGGAGAATTAACAAATCTTTAGTGACTGATTGGGAAAATAGAATCAAGGGAAAATGAAGAAAAAGGAACAGAACTTGAAGTAAATGTGCTGGAGCTACTTCTTATTGATTTGGGAGAACCTGTTGTTAAATTGCCTAGAACTTTGCAAGCTAGTTGGTAGCTTGAAATTGGCTAAAATGATGAGACTCCTTACACCACAGAAATTAGCGTGTGCTACAAATCAGCCCCCACACCCCCATAACCCCATGCCAGCCAGCACAGCATTGATAATAATTACCCCAGGGAAACTTGGAAACTTTCTTTCATTTCAAGCTACTGATCCTTAGGAAAAATTCCATCCAATATCACATAGAAATAAGAATCCATTTATCACTACTTTGGAATAACAGAAGAATGGAATTTTAGAGTTAGAAGCTATTTAAGGGAAATCTAATGTTTTATAATAAAGAAACAGATAAAACGGGGCAGTGTCTTCCCTAGGTTGAATAACTAGTTAGCAGTAGAAATAAAACTAAAATCCAAGACTTCTAGATCAACAGATTCATTAAAAAACAAAATTTTGAGAGGAAAAATATGTAGTCTTAAACTCAACTTTTCTTAAATTAATAACAGAGAATTTACACATTTAATTAGTATACAAAGTCTTGCTTTTAGTTTCAAAAAGTCAAATGCAGGATGGAGACAGCATGATCTGATAATCATGTCTATGAAAATAATTTGAGGGTTTTAGTTGATCATGAGATTTATATGTGCCAAACATCTGATACATGTGTTTAAAAAAATTAACCCCATGTGTGACAACAACAGTAAGAAAATATAGTCTAGCTACAAAGAGGTAATAGGCAACGAACTAAATAAGTGTTACTGCTACATGCCATTGACGTTTTGAGGTTGTCTGCTTTACAATAGAAGTCCATGCTGTCCTACAGAAGTGTAATACAAACCATTATATGTAATTTTAAATTTTCTCAAAGCCACATTTTTAAAAACAGGAGAAGTTGATTTGAAAATATATTTTATTTAACCCAATATATCCAAAATATTATTTTAACATGTATTCAATGCAAAAATATTATTGAGATATTTTATAATCTTTCAAATATTTCAAATTAGGCTAGTCACATATCAAGTTCTCAATAGCCACATGTGGCTAGTGGCTATCATACTGGATAGCACAGCTCTAAAATATTCTCTCAACCCTGGGCACCATGTTTTAAGAGAAATCTAGACTAATTATAGTCCAAATGGAGTAATCAGATCTGGAAACCAGTATTACCACAAAGCAGAGAACGTGTGAAGTTAACCTGGAGATGTATAATTCCAAGAAGAAAAGACAGAAGGGATATTTAACAAACATCTTCAAAGACTTGAAGCACTGTTTTGTAGAAAACACACAATAGATTTGTGCTATACTATTCCTTAGCTCAAATCAATAGGTAAAAATTATAGAAAAGCAAATTCCACGTTTGACACAGAATGATTCTCCTACTCTAATTAGAATTATATAGGTTATCCATGGAATTATTTAACATGTCTGGTAGATTGATTGTATCATTGTCTCCAATTATTCACTCTCCCTATCCATACCCTTTTCCATGAAGTTTTGCAATGTCCTCCCTCTCTGAATGGGACATTCCATCTCACCTTTGTCTCTGGGCTTGGCCATGTGACTTTGCCTTGCTCATGGGATATTAGTCAACTTGATGCACAAATGGAGATTTTAAAAATGCTCAGGCATTTCCACCTCTGTTTTTGCCTTCTTCCACAATCATGAAAAAGTCATGCCCAGACCTGACCATAAGGCCATCTTAGATCACCCAAGAGCCAGCTGACCTCCCAGATATGTGAGTGAGTACACCCAGGGTCATCCAAGCAGCCTAACAGTCCCATGACTGGTTGCAGATGTATGTGAGCCAGCCAAGATCAGCCAAGTCCAGCCCAGATCATCTGAACACCGCAGACTCATGAGCTAAATAAGTATTTATTGTTACATGCTGCTGAAGTTTTGAGGTTGTTTGTTATGCACCATTGTTGTGCAATAGATAGCTGAACTAGCATTTATCCCTCAAAATTTCATCAGCCAGAAAATGATATCTCATCCCTGGAAAACATGTTATACATTTAAGGACTCATTTTTTTCCCCCAGCATTATATGAATAACAAGTTTCTTTTTATAGAGTGATGGTATACTGGATAATTGCCAAAATAAGGACTATTTCTTCGTTATTTTCATGTCAACAGACCTGATTTATAAACATAAGAGCAGGAAGGTCCTCCTGTTAAGATGTGGGGTATTATATTTACACAGTTAACAGATGATGTTTAATCTGTAGCCAACTGGGAAAGGATTTATAAAACTCATTAAAATAGTCTTACCTGAGCTGCTGTAAAGTTTGCCAAGAAATAGTTTCCATTTTCATAGGTATCTGCAAGCAAGAAAAAAAAATAAGCAACTACTCATTGCTTCAACTGTAGCAGATGATCTTTCATACAGTTAGAAAATATATCAGTGGGATCACAATTACCGATCAGGATAATCATGAAGTCTGAGGTGCACTAAAGATAGTAGTTGAGGGAATATTTTGCCCCAGGTTGTGTGGGATGTGCATATGGAAGAAGGTGCTTTGAGGTGAGGGTCATGAGGTTGCAAAAACAAGAGAATCTGGGTTGAATTAAGAGTAGATACCATAGGTGAAGAAATATGGAGGCTACTGATTGGTTTTTTCTGTGCCAAAATAGCAAGCACATAGCCATGAGAGTTCACGTGGCTGTGATGATGAAGACTCAAAACAGAAGAGAGTGGCTAGGAATTCAGGCTCTCAAGTCAGATTGACATGGATTCAAATTTCTGCTCTTGTACTTAGTAGTTGTGCAAACTCAGGCAAGTTACTGAACATTTTATCATCTATAAAACAGAGACAACAATAGTACCCAGCTCATGGCAATAAGATACTTAAAATGTTGCTTGTATAGAATAGGTGCTCAAAATTTGTTATTCATTACCATCAACAAAGTCATCATCATCTTCATCTTCATTATTCTTCTTTCCTTACTCTTGGCTCATCCTTTCACAGTGCTCTAGATTCCAGGCCCTCCTGTCTCTACACGACTTACTTCATCAATTCTTCCCCATACCCTTTCTGCTCCTCTAGGCTCCAATTATGCTCAGAGCACTCCATTCCGACAAATCCTTTACTTGATTATCTCTATATCAAGCTACCATCATATCTCCTTTTTAGTGCCGTATGTCTCAAAAAAGGTGGCCTTTGCTTGTTATGCCTGTGTACTCAATTCATAATTCAATCCTACCTTTCCTACACTTCAGCTCCTGTGTTTCCTTTTTTTGCTGAATCTGATCCTTTCAAAGTCACCAGCGACATAGTAAATTACGTCTAAATGTCTCTTCATGAGGTTCAGTATTTTTAGACCTTTGTGCCCACACATCTCCTCCTTGAAATACTCCTTTGTTAATGTCTACTTAACTCATTCTCTTCGTGTGGCTTTTATAACTCCTATTAAAAGTCAGTTTCATTTCATGTTCTATTCTTGGCCCTTGTCAACATTCCATCTCTTACCAAAATTCCAACACATCATCTCCCTGAACCAACTAATGCTCTTCTTTGTTTTCTAAATTACCTCCACTCTTATGGAAACAAACAATTATAAAATCCATGTTTTCAAATTTAGCCTTGGCTAGAAAACGTAACCTAAGCAAACACTATAGCCTCTTTTAGCAGTTTTAATAAAGAATCCTTAAAGAATGGAATTCTGTTAATATAGATGATTTAAGATTATCCTTGAACTAGCTATTAAATCTCGTTATATAAGTAAGGAAAAGGTTAACAAATAGTTACAAACATGTTAACAGAAAATTTAAATTAAATCTATACTTACACTGTACCTTGGTATTTTAAATTTGAATTTCTAAGTCTGTTTGGTGAAAAAGGGCAAAGAGCTTCTCTATGAAAGTTAAAAGTGTAAAATGTTTAAAACTTTTAGAGACTATTGATTTTTAAGCTTTGAACTAAAATATATTTATTGTAAGAACCTAAAACTTTATAGAAAATTGTTTTCTCCCTTAAATTTTTGAAATATATTGCTCATAGGGGGCCAATTTTACACACTAACTGTGGTGTTATTTACCCACTATGATAATAATCATCTAGCCCTAGCTAGGTCATGCTGTATAAAAGGACTCTAGATTCTCTTGAAATATTGGTTCTGAACCAGCAGTGATTTTGCAGGGTGAAATATTTTGCCATATGTAGAGACACATTTTATTGTTATATCTTGGGATTGAGAGGAGTGCTTTTGGCATCTAGTGAGTAGAGGGCGGGAGTGCTGCTAAACATCTTATAATCAACAGCCCACCCACCACCACCAATAAAGTATTGTCTAGCCTAAAATGTCAATACTATCAAGATTGAGAAAACCTGCTTTAGAAAAAGTATTTTCTTGAAAAAAAAGAAGAAAGTTAGAGGACTCTTGCTTTCTGATTTCAAAACTTACTTCAAAGCAACTGTAATCAAGACAGTGTAGTACTGGCATAAAAATGAATATATAAATATATATTAAATATATGCATATCTCATGATGGCCACCAACTCCTTTGGCTGTAATCTCTTCCTCATCGAACAATTTAATATATTACTATTACATATGTATATATATAATGTGAAGGTTTATTTATGTGTCCACAATTCTATACACATACTTTCACATTTAAAGTTAATTGATTTTCAATAAGGATGCCAAAACAATTAGATGCTGAAAGAAGAGTCTTTTCATAAATTGTGCTGAGACAACTAGATATCCACATGCAAAAGGATATAGTTGGACCCCTACCTCACACCAAATGCAAAAATGAACACAAAATAGATCAAAGACCTAAATGTAAGAGCTTAAACTATGAAACTCTTAGAAGAAAACAAGGGTAAATCTTTGCGACCTTAGATTTGGCAATGGTTTTTTAGTATAACACAAAAAGCACAAGCAATGAAAGAAAAAAGATATTTGACTTCATCAAAATGAAAAACTTTTGTGCTTCAAATAGACTCTATTAATAATATGAAAAGGCAATGCACTGAATGGAAGAAAATATTCGCAAATCATATATCTGATAAGGGACTTGTATCTAGAATATATAAAAAAACACTTACAATTCAATAATAAAAAGACAACCTAATTTAAAAATTGACCCAGGATATAAATAGACATTTCTCTAAAGAAGATATATAAATGGCCAGTAAGTACATGAAAAGATGCTCATTGTCATTAGTTATCAGAGAAATGCAAATCAATTGAAACCCCAGTGAGATTTTACTTCATACCCACTAGGATGACTACCCTAAAAAAGACAGATAATAACAAGCTTTGACAAGGATGTGGAGAAACCGGACCCCTCATATACTGCCGGTAGAATGTACAATGGTGTGGCCTCTTTGTAAAAGGATTTGGAAGTCCTCCAAAACGTTAAATACAGAGTTACCATATAACCCAGAAATTCCACTCTTAGGTATATACCCAAGAGAATTGAAAAAATATGTTTATACAAAAACTTGTACACAGATATTCATAGCAGCATTGTTCATAATAGTGAAAAACTAGAAACAACCCAAACATCCATCAACTGATGAATAGATATATAAAAGTGGTATATCCATACAATGGAATATTATTCAGCCATATAAAAGGAATGAAGTACAGATACATGCTACGACATGGTTGAACTTCAAAAACATTATGCTAAATAAAAGAAGCCAGTCATAAAAGCCACATTTATTCCATTTATATGACTCCACATGATTCTATTTATATAAGTGTCCAGCATACACAGATGTATAGTGACAGAAAGTAGATTAGTAGATGCCTAGGGTTACATTTCCCAGGGCTGGAGAGAATGAGGGAGGAGGAAGCAATTGAAGGGTGATATCTAAAAGGTATAGGACTTATTTTCGGGGTGAAGAAATGGTTCTAAAATTTACTGTGTAGTGGTTGCACAACACAGTGAATAAACTAAAACCATTGAATTGTACACTTTAAATGGATGTATTCATGGTTTGTGAATTATACCTCAACAAAGTTGTTACAAAAAAAAGTTAAAGTCAAGCCCAAGAACTAAAAAAAGGCATTTCTTTTTTTGTAAAAATGTATTTTTCAAAAAAAATTTCTAACTGATTAATCTTTAAATCCATTGTATGATTTCTATTTGTCATAATACTCCCAGGTTTACCACTTTGCTCCTCATCAGTCTTTCAATCATCACATCCATATTTCCAAACTCTGTACTGTCCATCTCCACCAGGAGATTCCACAGGCATCCCAAACCCAAAGTGTGCAAAACTAATTTCATTATCTCTCATCATTCTATAGACTGGCTTTATCACCCATGTTCCATACCAGGATAATGGAATTACTTCCTGCCTAATCATGCAACTATACACTTGGCATGATCTGACAATGCAAACAGTCTGCAGTCACCTTAACAAAAGTGTCACTGTAGCAATACAGTGTTACATGTCTCATCATGGCTACCAACTCCTTTGGCTGTAATTTCTTGCTCACTGAACAAACTCTTGATTAAAATGTCATCTTTCACATGGACTTAATTTAAGGAAAAATATGTATGTCCCAATAGATGGCAACATTCTAGCCCATTAATAAATACAGTTCTTAAATTTAAAAATTGGCATTGTGGCATATTATGCTCTTATAAGGTTCAAGTCCTGCCACTCCCTTAAAACCTGATTTGAGTGGCTGGTTAATCTCCTTTCTCTGACTTCTGGACTTTTCGTTGTCATATTAACTACACTAATTTAAATGTAAAATATCTAATCTTAAAAGCTTATAATGGAGTTTTATTTATCTTGCATATTAATGATATGTTTTATTCAGCATCCATGTGCCAAGAATTCTCTCTATACATTAAATCATTTTATCTGCATGAAAATAATCTACATGATAAGTAGTATCTTGTAGATGTTAAAGACGAGAAAATGCAGGCAAAGAAATGTAAAGCAACTTTTCAAAAGATGTACAACTAGTAAATGACTGAAGTGGTATTTGAATCCAGATCTATTGAGTTCCAACATGTCACATGCCTCTCCTTGGAGTTTACTTATTAGCTTCATTTTTATTTAAGTTCAAAGACTGATTTGAACTTTAAAAATAGAAGTAATCTAATTCCCTCATATCCCTCCCTTTGGCCAGCTTCTACCTATAAACGAGCAACCAAATCATTTGAAAAGTATCTCTCGTATACTATATTTAATGAATATAGGGTTATAATGTATTATCCATACACTGAGAAAAGAAATTTAAGGTACCGTATGAAATACCATCAAAAACTTAGAAATACTTAGGATACATTTAACAAAATATGTGCAAGACCCAAGCACTGAAAATTACAAAATATTGCTAAGAGTAATTAAAGAAGACCTAGGTAATTGAAGATGATGATAAATAGATATAGATAGATAAATGTCCTAAAATTGATCTACAGAATCAATACCATTCCCATCAAAATTCTAGCAAGTTTTTTTGTTAAATAATGACAAGCTGATTTTAAAAATCTATATGAAATTCAAAGGAGTTAGAATAGCCAAAGCAATTTTGAAGCTACATCAGTCAAGATGATATGGTATTGTCATAGAGATAAACGTATAGATCAAGGAACAAAACAAACAATCCAAAAATAGATTCTCAGCCGCATATGACCTACTGATAGCTAATAAAAGTGTCAAGATAATACAACAGGAAAAAAGATTCTGCTTTTAAGAAAGTGGTGCTGGATCAATTGGATCAATATATGGGGAAAAAATGAACTTTGACCATTACATACATACAAAATTTAATACAAAATAGGTGATGGTCCTAAGTGTAAAAGCTAAAACTGCAAAACTTCCAAAAATAGAAGAGAAAATCTCTGTAACCTTGGGTGTGATGAAGCCATGTGATGCTATGATTCGTAATAAGAAATATATATTTGGTCTTCATCCTCATTTCTGGCACAGAGTTCCTAAAACCCTTGGAATTTCCTAAATGATGAGAGCAATCAAGGTGTCTTTTGTTATGTTAATGACATGGCATTGTCTTCAACGATGATGAAACATATATTTATCATATGACCCAGCCTAGCAATTCCATTTCCAGGTTTTTACCCAAGAGAAATGAAAACATATGATCACAAAATGACTTATACTCAAATAATCATGGCAGATTTATGCATATGGTAAAAAATATGAAAATAATTAAATATTCATCAACAAGTAAATGGATAAACAAATTGTGGTATACCCACTTAACAGAATGTAATCCAGGAGTCAAAAGTAATTAACTATTTTTACATGCAACAATATAGGTGAATTAAAAAAAAATTCTGCTAGGGCCGGCCCCATGGCTTAGTGGTTAAGTGCGCCCGCTCCCCTGCTGGCGGTCCGGGTTCGGATCCCGGGCGCGCACAGATGCACTGCTTCTCCGGCCATGCTGAGGCGGTGTCCCATATACAGAAACTAGAAGGATGTGCAGCTATGACATACAACTATCTACTGGGGCTTTGGGGGAAAAAATAAATAAATAAAATTATTAAAAAAAAATTCTGCTAAATGAAAGAAGATAAACACAAAAAGAGTACACTCTATATGATTCTATTTACATAAAACCTAGAAAAGACAAATCTACTCTGTAGTGACAGAAAGCAGGTCAGTGGTTAGCAGGGCCTGGAAATGGGAGTGGGGGTGTCGAGGGGGGCAATTCACTGAAAAGAAGTAAAAGTGGAACTTTTGGGGTTACGAAAGTATTTTATATCTTTTTTTTGTGTGTGAGGAAGATCAGCCCTGAGCTAACATCCATGCCAATCCTCCTCTTTTTGCTGAGGAAGACCGGCCCTGAGCTAACATCCATGCCCATCTTCCTCCACTTTTTATGTGGGACGCCACCAGAGCATGACAAGCGGTGCGTCAGTGTATGCCGGGGATCCGAACCAGGGCCGCCAGCAGCGGAGTGCCACGCACTTAACCACTATGCCACCGGGCCGGCCCCAAAAATATTTTATATCTTGATGGTAGTGATGGCTATACAACTGTATACATTTGTCAAAACTTATAGAACAGTATACTTAAAATGGATACATTTTATTTATGTAAATACATCTCAATCGAGTTGATTAAAAAACAATAATTTTACTTCTAGGAATCTACCTTATGGAAATAATCTGAAATAGAACAAAGGTTAATACTCAAAGATATTGTTTACAACAATAAAAACTGAAAGTATCCTATATCCTGTATAGAGAGTAATTATAGAAAGTTAGAAACATGATGAGAAAGCTTCTCAGTGGAATATGGTAATCATAATGCTTTATAAGATGTTAATAACATCTAGACACATTTCTGTCATTATGTTAAGTGCAAAAAAAAAGGATTCTCAAATTAAATATGCAGTATGTTTCTCAGCAATATAAAAAATTAAGCATTCTCTTAAGTAATATGAAAGCAAAAGGCAATAGAGCAAACATACTAAAAGTGGTTATGCTTTTTTTCTAATTTTCTGTCTTTAAAATATTTTCCTTATTGAGAATATATTTACCCTCATAATAAAGAATACTAAAAGAAGGAACCCTTTAGAAATATTACTAGTGAAAAATAAGCTACAATTTCAATAACCGTGACATGTTACAAGATTAGAATGTTCTGGTCCACAGTAATAAGTATTGGAAAATGGGTGTTGCTTGGTAACAATGTGTCAGTATTTTTATAGAAATATCTGAGGAAGAGGATGTTCTTATTAAAGTAACAAACACCAATTATCTAGCAAGATTATATCCCTAGATGGGGAAAGAAAGCATATGGAGTAATATTTCATTGACATAAGTATCCTTTTGACAATATTTAATTCCCAATTTCTGAGACACCAAGAAATTTTTTAAGCTCTAATTTGTCTCCTGAGTGGGTCTACTTAGGAGGGAAAGGGTGCATGCTTAGAGATGGCTGGCCCAAATAATAGAGCCTGGTCTATGAACCACTGAGAATGAATGGTTGGCCTGATATTTGCACCCACACTCTTATCAGAGCGAGACAGTTACATAGAAATAAATCACTGCTGGCTGAATCCACAACATCAAGTTGCTGAAACTACCGTGCTGGGGACCATATACTGTTCTATAACAATTACAGTGTAATATAAATGAACAGGCAAAAGTCACAAAAATTCTCCCAACATCATTGCTTTATTAATAGTAGCAGAAATAGAGATAGGTTTTCAGTTCATGCCAATTATATCCTGAACCTCTACGGGATAGTTTTTCTGAATCTGTGTGGGGACCTTGGAAAGTTCATACTCACCAATGCTTTGTCCATCATCCCAGAACATCTCACCTTCGGCTTTCCCATTGTCATCCAAAGCAACAATCAATCCCATAAAATTTTGTCGACTATGAAAAAAAAAGAGTTATTTTTCTCTAGATTGTAGGTTGTAAGAATGAAGGACAGCTTCTGTTGAAAATATTACTCATCCAGAAAAAAAAAAAGGTAATGCATTAAAAATGCACATAAGGTTTTAGAACAGGTAAAATGAGACAAAATGTGAGATACTTAAAAGCTAATAGAATAAAGCATTTAAAATTGAATGAAACATTTGGTATAACTTCAACCTTCAAAAATCAAATACACATACGGTACTTATATACATATTATTATAAGTAGTATAAGAAGCTCCTTCTTTAGGAAGAAGATCCAATTTAAAAAACAGCAACAACACTCTTTAGTAGTTTCCAGATTGATACAGAATAAAATGCAACATACTTATCCTGGCATTCACAGCCCTCCATGACCTGATCCTAACCTGCCTGAATTTTATAATTATTTATTGTCTCCCTCTCCAGTTAAACTGAACGGTTTACTATTCCCCAAATCCAACTCATTTTTCACCTTTAGTTCTTTAATTCTCCCAGAATTTCTCTTTCCCTTGTCTTCACATATTCAAATTCTATTTATTATTCAAGACTCAACTCAAAGCTGTCTTTCATATGAAACCATGCTCTACACCACAAGGCTGAAAGTTAACGTCTCTCCTTTTGAGTTGTTATTGTTCTTTTTACGTGTGTCTCTCTTGATATAGCATGTTCTTCTTAATGTAATGTTTATGTATGTGTATATACACATATAAAGAATCTCTCCTTGGGTTGCCCAAAGTAGACCTGGGAATGAGCACTAAATTCTTGGGTAGCCATCACCAATCAAAGAGTTCATTAATATTCCTAATTTTCTTTTTCTGAGGCAGATTCACCCTGAGCTAACATCCATTGCCAATCCCCCACTACTTTTTTGTATGTGGGACACCTCCACAGCATGCTGGTGCGTGGTGTAAGTCCGCACCTGGGATCTGAGCCTACAAACCCAGGGCGCCGAAGCAGAGCACGTGGAACTTTACCCACTCAGCCACGGGCTGGGTCCCCCAATTTTTTTTAGTAGTGTAAGAGGTACATGCTGCTGCCCTCAGGGAAATTTTTGCCCCGGATCTTTGACACAGAGCTACAGATAGAAGATACCCCCAAGACTGACTTCATAAACTCATCCTCCCCCAGATCCCACTCAGAAGGCACTCACAGAATCAAATCAATGAAAGTGTCTGTAATTTGGTTTATTTATCCACAGAGCCCTGGTCGAGGCGGGCAGCGACCTGTAAGGCTGCCTCTTTATGGCAAAGTGGCCTTCAATTTCCACCTCTCGTCCTACCTGTAATAAGTGTTCATTGCAGGCTCTTGCCAAGGCAGGATGTAGCCTCCTCTGACGTGAAGGTTGATGTGGTCAAGCGGAGCCTGCAGGGTTTTCCATTCACCTGTCGATGCATTGCCAGATTCCTTGAAAGGAGAATATAGGCAAGAAATGATGACCAAAAAATAGATGAAATGAACGCATACTTTATTACAAGTCCTTCCTTTCCAAGGAAGTGTGTCTGAAAGTCAGCAAAATATTACAAATCTGAGGAGAAAATCTTTAATTTTCAGCTTTGCTAAAAACTCTGAAAATCTAGTCTTTTCTCCGTATTCCCTAGAGAAAGTGGGGGTGGCAGAGGAGTCAACATGACATGGGTCTAAGATTTTACCTATTTATGCTTTTATGAATACTTTTATTTAAGCAAACCTTCTGTGGCCAAAACGTTGAAAATTATTGCCTTAGAAAATAAGTGCCTGGAAGTCAAGAGAAAGCTCCAGTCACCTGGCTAACCTGCATGGACCAGTCTGGTTCCTCACAAAGTATGTTGGTTCTTACCGTGCTATAGTCGTACCAACGGGCTCTGGGAAAATAAGCACGGATCTCAAAAGTGCTCTGAAACATAAAATCCACATATAATTATAAATATTCCAATAATTTAATTTTAATTTTTAAAATTCTTTCTATAGAATTAAGATAAAAATGGGAATTTTATTAATGATTTTAAGAGTTTCAGAGGTTTTATTGAGAAAGATCCTGGGAAATTCTTCTTCAAGCACACAGAAAAATAAATTTTTTAAAAAAGGTAAATTATATAAAGCCAGGCCTGCTGGTCTAGTGGGTTCGTTTCCTGGTCAGGGAACCACACCACCCATCTATCTGTTGTTACACTGTGATGGCTGCACGTTGCTGTGATGCTGAGAGCTATGTCACTGGTATTTCAAATACCAGCAGAGTCACCCATGGTGGACAGGTTTCAGCAGAGCTTCCAGACTAAGACAGACTAGGAAGAAGGACCTGCCCACTCATTTCCAAAAACCTTGGCCATGAAAACCCTATGAATAGCAGTGGAGCATTGTCTGATAGAGCACCGGAAGATGAGAGGATGGCACAAAAAGACCAGGCTGGGTTCCATTCTGCTGCACACAGGGTCGCTAGGAGTCAGAATCAACTTGACAGCACCAACAACAAAAATTTTATAAGGATGCAAGGCGACAAGACACTAAAATGAGCTATCAACTGAAGTTGTAAAGTTTTCATTAATGGAGACCTTGAAAAAAGAAAAAGATCCCCCTTAGATGTTCTGGAAATGTATTTGTCTGAAAATAGTGAGTTGGACAAGTCAACCTTTAAAATGCTCTTCCTGTACTTTAAGCAATTGGAGAGTTTCAGGTCTATGATGGAAAACTCACACTTTCCAGCACGGGGCTGATTAAGATGGCGGGGCCCAACATGAACTGACCGTCTATTTCCCACGTTTCGTTGTCAGCTGTAAACCTTAAAAAATAAGCAAGAAAAATCCACCCTGTTATGACTGTTGCAGAGGGTTATTCACAAGACATGCAGAGACCTGCTGCTTGGGAAACAGCCTCTACTCACTCATGGAGAAGGGGTCGGACAACAGTGCTGCCCTCAACATGAGCTTTATGCATCAGAGAATAGAGGTAAGGCAGCAGGGTGTATCTGGTCTGGAGGACTTTTCTTGAGATCATCTCAAAGGTTGAATTCCAGGCCACAGGATCTTGTCTCTAAATGGATAAAAGAGCATATGACAGATTGCTCCTCTTTATTTCTCCTAGTGGTATCAGAAAAGGACCAGCAGGCACATATCCTGTATGTAGGTTACACATCTCTTCTACCTTCATTTCTAGCCTACTCTCTCCCCCACCCCTGCCATCTTACTAAACTAGAGCTTCTTTCTTCCACCTCTTTATCGTAGATTCATAAGTCCCTACACAAGTCTAGCCTTGGCCCTGCACCTGTGTGGAGAGATGGGTTTCTATGCAGCACTGACATATTTGGACGGATTTGAGTAAAATACAAATTCACTATTCTTAAAAGCAAAGGGAGTTCCTTTTATCTTAGCCCCATAGGAAGCCATAAACACTTCTCTCCTCATAGGCACTAATCCCCCAAGAGATGAGAAAAAGTATATTCTTTAAAATTGTTGGTAATTCTAGGATTTTGAACTCTGTGTTTTCCAAGAAAGGGAGGTTCTGGTGATTTCTATGATTTTTCTCAAGAAATAAATATGATTATTTTGAGGATTCAAAGGAAGTTGTGATGTGAGGACACAAACACTGCAACATGAACAGCCACTCACCCTTGTCCCGAATGTGTTGTGGTTCCTGGAAAATGGATAAAAGGCCCCCAGTTGCATCCAGCGAACACACATCTCATATTCAGCATCTCCAAAGAACCCGCAAATATCTGCTCCTGTCTGAGAAGATGTAAAATCAGAGCATGAGGTGAGACTTCTGTGGGTTGCAGACACACTGAAATCTGACTGGGTTATTTGTAATGGCCCCAATATGACTTACATAAGATATCCCAAAGAGACTGAACTCCATCATGCCTGCAATGAGAAGATACAGCTGTGTTGGACAAAGCAGCCCTCTGGGAGGGTCAAACCTACCCCATTAAGCCCTGAGCCACTCATGATGAAAATATCAAAAAATGGGTGTGAATTTAAACTCACACCCATGGAGAACTCAGCTCCTGTTGATTTCACCAACCACATGGATGATGATTAGACATAACCAATGCAGCTAAAAAGCACACACTCCAGTCCCCTCCCCACCAGTAGAGGCCTCTGGGAATAATCCCACACACCAATGATAGACTTCTTCAGCTGGTCCCACTCGGCCGTGTTGTCTCCCAGCCAGTGTCCTCCCCAGCGGCCAGAAGAGGGGAAAGTAGAGCGGGTGATGATGATCCCTCGCTGTCCTGTCACCTCCTGCACAGCTCTGGTTGGAGGGGAACAAGGAGGTGAACTGAAGGTGAATTTGAGAGTGGACAGCCATGGAACTTCATCACAGACAGTAGCTTCAGCCTGGAGCATGAGGTGGCAGTGGTGCTCCATTTTGAGCCAGAGAGCTTCTTCCCTGAAAGCATCTGCTATTTAGAAGTGATGCTAAGGGCCCCAATGACCATCACAGCAGGACAACTGGAGATATAGCATCACCTAAAGTGTGGATTTCCCTTATTTTAAAAAAATCTAATTAACTAGCTGTCTATACAGAGATAGGAGGAGGGGGTGGGTTGAGGTGTAGGACAGATATTTATGAAACAATTACTCAATCCCAGGAATTATACTGATCACTTTCATGTGTACTGTCTCACAACCTCGCGTGGAAGGTTTCCTTGGCCTCCTTTAGGAAACTGACTCTCAAAGAAGTTAGATAATTTGTTAAAGCCCATTTAAAGAGCAAGAAGGCAGACCTGGGATTCAAATAAAAGCATATGTGACTACAGCTTTTTGATAATATTCACTCTACAGTGCTCCTGCTCGAAAAAGCAGGATAAGTTTTGCACACAGGGGCAAATGTATATAAAAGATGTTTGAATAACTCTCCACGGAAGGTGATTCTTCTGCACTCAGCCTCAGACAGAAAATAAAAACAATTGTGTTAAAGAAAAATCAATGGAGCAAAAGAGCAAGTCTGTTAACAGATGTTAGTATATAATGCAATCCAAATATTTGCTAAGGAAAGCATCACAAATCAATAGACACAGATGAATTATTCAATAAATGATGTCAGAAAAAGAAGATAGCTACTGTAATGGAAACTAACTTATTTAGGTCACTTCCAATACTTCACATCAAAATAAATCCGAAAATGGATGGAGATGTGTGTGTGCGCACGTGCGCGCACACACACACACACTAGTCTGAGTGACAGATAATGAAGGCCTGATATAAGGCAGGGATATGAAGAGTAAGGGTGCATGTAAGTGAAGCAAAGAACTTTGTCACTGACCATTTCAGAACTCTAGAAATTCACCAGCCATAGAGAAAATGAAAACTGTCTATCCAAGAAAAACTACTAATCCTAGCAAGATAGTGAAGTCTCTGGGACCTCAACTTGGGGCTAGTCTCAGCCCACCACATTCCTAGCTCATTGGCACCAAAAGCCAGCAGCCTTGCAGCAGACTGAGAGGTTTGACTTCTTCTGGAGATCTGTTAAAATCATCATTCCCAGAGAGCAATAAATATTTTTTTCTAACTTCCAGTCCCCTGAAAAACCTCTATTCCCAGGGTGTTGTGGCCATTTGATTGGACTCAGAGTTAACTCAAGAGGGAGAAAAAGATCCCCCCAGGGAATTACCAAAACCATAACAATTTTCCGGCAACATCACAGGTGCTCAGGCTGTGGTCTCCGTTGAGGCAAACAAAAGCGTAGCTGGGAATTTAAAAGTAAATCCTGGAGAATTAGAACCATAGAGAACTTTGTAGGCTCCTACATACTGCTGGAGATTTACAGACTGCACACGCATGCACAAGACTCTTGCATGCCCAGGAAAGAACTATGAAAGGAGAAGGTTCCCATGATTCACCTCTGGCTGAACTTGAGGTCCTGAGCAAGCAGGAAGTGAAAGGGAGGGCTGTCTTACAAGCTGCCTAAAGTTTGAAGGTGTGCCTTCTCTTACTGATCCCCTTGGTAATGGGAAAAAGACATGGAGACAAGGCGTTTACTGTGCCCTGGGTGGTCTAATGTTCCCCTCAGTTCGACTAAACTTTAGGCTAGCTTCTTCTTGACTCTAGGACCCTGACCTCCCATTTCTTAGAGCATTTACTTTAGAAACATTTTAACTATAAATTCTTTCTCTGCCCCCTTGAGATAGAAATCTTTTTAAAAGCCTCTTGCCATTTATACCCAGAAATGTCTTTGTCATGGACCTGGTAGCCATCCTTTGAAATGTAATCAGCAAGGAAGACAATGCTCTTGTCTGAAGCGTCTGTAGGAGGCTAGGAGCCTAACTTCAGCAGGGCCTCTGCTCCAAGTTGTAACACTACCTCCCATCACAAAGATATGAAAATTTACTTTTTCTTTGACTGAGGCCAATTAGCAAACACACTTGAGGCCTATGAACACCCCACTCCAGCTCTCAAAATCTCTCCAGACCTTTCTTTCAATGGAGTTGACTTCAAATTGAGTTCTGGTCTCTCTCTCTTATTGCAATAGCCTTGAATAAAGTCTTTCTTGTCTGGCTAACTTGTGTCCAGCGTAAATTTTGCCTCAACAACGGAAATATTCTGACCAACCATTGGCTGACCACTGAAATGGACTGATCCAGGAATATCCTCAAGGAAGTCAGGCTTAAAAATGAAAAAAGAACTTACAAAGGGGCAGGGGTATCAAAGAACTCAATGGCCACACACTGCAAGAGAACATAGAATCTACAGACTGAAACAGAAAAGTTGCTAAACAAATAAAACAACCACAAGTAAAACAACAAAAACAGCAACAATAAAAACCCAGCAACAACAACAAACCCTACAGGGGGTGGGGGAGGGATTTTATGCCAAAGTCGTTACAATTTATTATCTGAAATGCCCAGTTTCCAACAAAAAATTGTCATGCAAAGAAATAGGAAAGTATGCCATATGCACAGGAAAAAACACATCCAACAGAAAATGTTGCTGAGAGGACTTAGTAGACAAGCACTTTAAATTAACTACTATAAATATGTTCAAAGAACTAAAGGAAAGCATATCTAAATAATTAATGGAAGGTATGACAATGATGTCTTACTAAATAGAGAATATCAATAAAGAGACAGAACTTAAAAAAAAGAATCAAATAGAAATTCTGGAGTTGCAAAATACAATAACTGAAATTAAAAATTCACTAGAGGGACCAGGCTCAAAATCAGACTTGAGCTAGCAGATGAAAGAGTCAGCAAATTTGAAGATAGGTCAATAGATATGATCCAGTCTGAATAGCAGAAAGGAAAAATAATGAAGAAAAGTGATCAGAACCTCAGAGATCTGTAGGACACCATCAAATGTGCCAATATACATGTAAGTAGAATCTCAAAAGGAGAAAACAAAGGGAAAGGGGCATAAAAATGTTTGAAAAATTAATTACTAAAAACTTATACACTGACAACTATAAAACATTGCTGAAAGAAATTAAAGGAGATCCAAAGAAATGGAAGGACATCCCATGTTCATGGATCAAAAGACTTAACATTGTTAAAATGGCAATACTCCCCAAACTGCTCTACAGATTTAATGCAATCTCTATCAAAATCCCTGTTACGTTGTTGCAGAAATTGACAAGATGATCCTAAAATTCTTATCAAATTCAAGGGACCCAGAATAGCCAAAACAATCTTGAAAAAGAAGAACACAAAATACCACATATTGTATGATGTCATTTATATAAAATGTCCAGATTAGGCAATCCATATAGACAGAAAGTAAATGAGCAGTTGCTGGGGCTCAGGAGGTGGGGACAGGGGTAAGGAATGATTGCCAATGGGTATAAGGTTGTCTTTTGGGACAATGAAAATGTCCTATAATTTGTAGTGATTGCTGTACAACTCTATGAATATAGTAAACACAACCTAACTGCTCACTTTATTTTTTTATTGAAGTATATTTGATATATAACATTGTGTAAATTTACACAAGGTGTTCAACATGTTAATATACAATGTTTATATATTGTACTACGAGTGCCATTGTAGGAATAATTAGCACCTGCTTGCTTCAAACAGGGGAATTTAGCAACCAACTTGATTAATACACTCACAGGGGTTGTTGCTGCTTGGGCAACCATGCCTGATATTTTGACATTCATCCACTTAGCTTGCATCATGTAGATACAAGCACAATACATATATGACAAGACAAAAGCAACAATGTGGAAAATGGTCCTTGCCGCCGGGGACAAAAACACACTCACTCGTATGTGGGTCTGGTCTGCGACCACCCGTACAGGCTGTGCACGTCGTAGTGCCGCACTACAGAGCCATCTGGCAGGACCTGCTCACTCTCCATGCACAGGGTCTTGTTGCTCAGACCGCTGTCCCTGGACTCCAGATCTGAGAGGAAATGCTGAGTTATTTCTCGAACAACGTGATTTGCACATTCACTAGAATTGCCCCTCATCTTGGCATTTCTCTATTTCAATCAACAACCTTCTTACCAGTAACAGCTCCAATTGCAAGAATTTTTTTTGTTTACAAAATCAATGTCCTGTGACTTTATATCTAGTGGAGAGTAAGGACAGGGTATGGAGCTGAGAAAGGCACCCTTCTTTTTGCACCCACTCTAACATTTATAGAGAGCTATCATAGCCCATCTGTGAACATAACGCCATTGTTGTCATGACTGTTTCTTCCACTAGATGGTAACGTTCTCAAGGGAATCGTTCTTGTTTCACTCAACTTTGTGTTAATGTTGCTAAATTTTTCTGATTTGTCAGCACTTGCCTGATACACAAATATTAAATTAAGGGAGGAAGGAGAGGAAGGAAGGAAGGAAGGGAGGAAGGGAGGAAGGGAGGAAGGGAGGAAGGAAGGGATTTAGTGAGCAATAAGAAGGATAGCAGTGACCTAGACACAAAGAAACTTGGATTCCACCTTCATCCCACAAATTACTGGTATAGTGCTTTTAAGAAGATGAGAGAGTTTCTGTAAAGTTTCTGTAAAATGAGAGAGTTAAACTATCTGAGATGCCTTTGAACCCAAGGTCCTATGATTCTCTATTTCTGTTTGCATCACAGGACAACCAGGGAGTGTCCATGAAGTGTCTGTGACCGTGGGCAGTAAGAGTGCGGGGACTAGATTTTCATTCTCTAATCAAAAGAGCATGTGTGTGTGGTGTGTGTGTGGTGTGTAGGGGGTTATTTAAAATTTTAGCAATTAGCTCATAGTTATCAGTGTAATCAGATGCACCATGCGTTCCTTGTTTTGTTTTTTCATACCATATCATGTAGTTATTTCTATGCTTGACTAGTAATTTATTTATTTGCACTATTCAAGGTCATTCTATCTGGGACTTTATGTCATATTTAAGAGTATTTTCTCTCTCCAAAATTAGGCTTCACTTTGACAATACAAGGAAAACCTTCAGAGTTTTTGAGCAGGGAAGTAATTTGATGAAATAATCATTTTACATACATGGCATATACGGTGGATTATTAAGAGTTTCATCTCTGCAGCCCCAGACAGATCCATCCACAAAGTTTGATGGTTCATTCATATCCTGCAATGAGTTAGCAAAAAAGATTCCGTGATGTCAGAGGCAGTATGGCCCTTGCTATGGAGGACACTGACCTCACGGAGATGCATGTATCTTATGGAAGCCCTCGCATCAGCTGGTCACTTCATTGTTTAATCTCAGGCATCGACTTGAATGGACTCTAAGAATTCATGTTCGTTTAAGGAGACTGTTCAAGTCCTAGTTTACTTGGCATTTTTAAACTCATGAGGATTGTTTCGTTTGGCAAAAATATTGAGATTATGCTAGCCTCATGGACTAAGGAAATGTCCTCTTGATTCATCTCCCCCATACGAGAAGCTTATCTTGTTTTTTTGTTTTTTTGGTTCTTTTTGTGAGGAAGATTAACCCTGAGCTAACATCTGTCGCCAATCCTCCTCTTTTTGCTAAGGAAGATTGGCCCTGAGCTAACATCCGTGCCCATCTTCCTCTACTTTATATGTGGGACACCTGCCACAGCATGGCTTGATGAGCGATGCACAGGTCTGCACCTGGGATCTGAACCTGCAAACCCTGGGCCGCCAAAGCAGAGCCCTCAAACCTAACCACTACACCACCAGGCTGGCCCTTCATCTTCTATGCGTGGATTACTCACTTTTTTCTGTGGCCAATGCTTACTGTTATCTTTCCCTACTCTTTCTTAGTCCCATAGCTTAGACTAATTCTGACGTCAGCATAGACCAAGCACAAGGAGGAGCGTCTCACTTTCTGCAGTAGATGCAGTCCTGAAAAGTTGTAGGTTAACTCAGAAACAAATCTGGAAATCAAATAATACTTTCAGGGATTTATTACTTAAATGCAAAAAATAGCAATTCCTGAGGTAAATATTCACTGCCTATTTTACCAATGGTGTTAAAATTTTGTATATCGGACTGTCTTAAATAGGACATAGAAAGCCAAAGGTAAGCATTTTGGGAACTACTGACTATTTGCCTCCAGTGGAACAAATGTCCCAAAGATATCAGGATCTCTATTCCTCAGAGTGACCCACGTCTCTTCATGGCTTGAGTGAATCTGTGCCCTTTCACATGTCTGCTCTGTGCCCATCTATCCTCAAGGTGTGAGTGGCCAGGGAAGCCCCAAGGCTGCCAGTGGGCTTAGACGTTTGTCTCTGGGTGGATCACAGGCTTCTTTCAGCCTGGCCCAGACCTGAGAAGCTCTTCAGAGCTGGCTATGAATATGCTCAGGATTTCAGGCCACTGGACAGTAGGGAAAGAAATTAGGACACTGATGTGCTTCTCATCCCTAGAAAAACACAAATAAAAGAGCCTTTGGACACATGTCCCAGAGACATCTCAGGAAGCCCTGCTCTTAAGCCCAACTGACACGAGTAACAAACATCTGAACAGGCCTTTGAAGCCATTCTCTCTGAGGACTTTGCACCAGCACTTCAGTGAACATCTATTTTCTCTCATATTCATGCCTTGCCCACCCCGAGTTCTGCCCTGTATCACAGGATGGGCTCTCAGGTTCCCTTAGCGTTGGCTCCTGGGTAGGTTTGGCGAGTGGGAGGCACTGGCAAGAGATTAGAGGGTGGGAGATAAGAGAAGCCAAGGTATTTGTCCCTCTTTCTCTGACAGCATCACCAGTGGTGGCACCTTTTCCATGGCCTCCAACTTCCACCAGACAATATGCCCCTGGGTAGACCTGCAATTATCTCTGCTTCTCCTGGTGGTCCCAGCATCTCAATTCTGTAACAGCATCTCTCTCTTTCATTCCTCCAGCCCCAGCTCCCCGTGTTGCTAGTCTCCGAATGGTCTCCCCATGTTCTGACTGCTAACATTTCCAAAGAAAACCCACTAAGGGTGCACTTACAATCCACAGTCCATCAAACTTCAAGCTCTTCTCTGGTTCTCGAGGGTTTGTATAGAGTTCTTCTATTTCCTTCTTCCACCATATGGCTGTGTTATTACGCAAGAAGTCAGGAAAAGCAACGTAGGCTCTGTACAGCTGTAAGATTAACACATACTCTCATGTTGGGTGTCAGCCTGCCCAGGAAGGGGAGTCTGGGGATCAGGAAGGGGAGATGAGCAGGTACTTGTGCAAGGCACTGCCCCACTCAGTGTGTGACCTAACCTCAGGTCTGCTGCTGCTCTGTGCAAAGTTTACTGAGGACACAAGAAACCAGGGTAGGTTGATTTTGTTTTTATTTTCCTGGAAGGTTGGATAGTCTTAAGTCCCTTTTAAACATGGGATTTGTTTTATGACTGGGTGTTAATCATATGAACTGGAAAATTAACTGTCAATGTCTAAACATTCAAACTTTAGAGATACAAATGCTTTTCCTACACTGGCCAAATGAAGGAGACCAGTCATCCAGGGAAAAGCCATTGTAGACCAGTCACCCAGGGAAAAGCCATTGTAGACCAGTCATCCAGGAACGGGATGCCAGATGCCCAGGCTGATGTGACATCAACTGCTGAGATCAAGGACATTACTTTTTTTTTTTTTTTAAGACACTTTCAAAGTGCAAGGATTTTATGATTCTTTTTTTTTTCCCCTGGGAAAGATTTGCCTGAGCTAACATCTGTTGCCAATCTTCCTCTTTTTTTTTATTTCCCTCCCCAAAGCCCCAGTACATAGTGTATATTCCTATTGTAAGTCCTTCCAGTTCCTCTATGTGAGCTGCCGCCACAGCATGGCTACTGACAGATGCACAGTGTGGTTCTGCAACTGGGAACTGACCTCAGGCCACCAACGCAGTGAGAGAGCTAAAATTTAACCACTAGGCCATCAGGGCTGGCTCAGGACATTACCTCTTTTAACTGGCTTACATTTTCTTTTATATGCAGACAATTCATTAAAGCCCAGTCTGTTTGTAACCTCCCCAGTGAAAATATTCTACACTTTGTTTCATTATTTTTCAAACAACAGTATATTCAAACAAAACACAACACATTAAAGGCACACATGTGAAGATATGTCATTCGTTATTTCCTTCTACACATTTCCTGTTTAGTCGTATGTTGAGTTTTCCATTTGAGGATCTTTTTCTGCCAAGAAATTACCAGTTGACAAGCACTCTCAACTTACAGCTACTTAACCAAACATCAGGATAAAACTCATAAGAATCCAGAAGTTTAGGGCAATGTAGACAAAAATGTGTGTGTAACTATACCTCAACCTGAGTTTCATCGTCAAGGGATCCATCCACAATCACATTGGGCAGATCTGGCCAAACCTAGAGAAAAAGAAAAAAAATTAAAACCTTTAAAAGGTATTGCATACAGACCATGAGATGTTTCACATGTTAGACTCTAATGACATGCATCTCCATAAAATTCTTGGGGATCTTTGCCACTAATTAAATTGTAAAGTCTGAATATATGAAATTCTGTTAGGTGAAAATAGGATGGGGTTTCTTTACTCATTCTATAAATTTTCAAAATTTGATTTTTGAACATAATGATTAACTAAATCTGTTTTAAACATATCCTCTGAACAACCAACTTTCAAATAATTACTCAGCTCTGTGAGACACCTATCACAGACCTATAACAAAATTCCCTTTATAAATAGCAAATGTGAAATGTGACTCTAAAGAAATAAGATTGATTTCCACCCACAACCCATAAACTTAGCCTCCATACTTTAAGCAGCATCATGATATATTGGGGACCCCAAGTATATGAAGCATTAAAAAATCCATAATGTCAACCAACTTCATCAATAATTAGGAGAACATTAACTATACACCATACACTGATTAATTCATTCATTCAGCAAACACTTATTGAGCACTTACTATATGCTGGACACTCTTTTACAATCTATATCTACTGAGATTTAAGTAAGAAATAGTCCTTGTTTTCTAAGAGTTCACAGATGGAACAGAAGTGCTCAGTTGTATGTTATACTCTCTGAATATATAGAAATGGAGAAATATATAGATATATATATATATATATATATCTAGAATATATATATATATATAGAAAATGGAGAAATAGGGAGAAATAAACTAGTCATTGAATGCTTCATAAGAGGGAATATTTGAGTTGGTCTTGAAGTGCAGATATTATTTGGGTAAGCTGAGAAGGCAACATTCAAAGGCACAGTGAGCATAGCTGTACCCAGAGCAATAGGAAGCAGCATAGTATAATTAGAGATCAGAGTTTGAATCTTGGCTCAGAGCTACTGTCATCTGGAGTCAGGAAGTTCACTTAATATCCTGTTCCTATAAACCAAACAATGAGGATGAGGGCACAAGAAGGAATTAAAGAGGATAAGAGAAGAAGGATAATGTATAGTATTTAATGATTTATTTAGATAGGGAGGCTGAGTCAGCATCATAGGTCCAAGATGAGTACAAGTTTTGAGTGTGAGTGACTGGGAGACATACATTTCAGAGCCATTCTCAAAGGGATGCTTTATGTTTGCTAAATGACCAGCTGATATACATAAGCGTGGGGCATCAGAATATTTCCAGACAATAAAACAAAGCTCACAGATATTTTAGAGGATTAGATATGTAAATTTGGTCTTAATGTTTATTGAGCTAATCAGTATCAGAACAATTTCTACTCATCCATAATTTATAAATTACCCAATATAAATATATTATTTATATATTTTGCCAAGATTTATTAAGAGCCTATTTTAATCAAGACATTGTGATGCTCATTAGTTATAGACATCTTCTCCAAAGCCATACCTTTCCCCAGACAATATCACTGGTGTCAGGCCATTTGATGAATACGTTGTTTTCCTGCCCTCTGGTGAATGTGAGATACTGGGTCTCATTGCCAGAAATGGCTGGGTCCTGCAATGAGAGGGTTTAAAACTCAAACACGAGAAAAACGTATCCAAGAAAATTCCTCTCCAAAGTTTTAACAATTCACAGTGCAGAAAGAAATAGTGAACCTCAATACCAAACAAAAACAAAAACAAAAAAGCACAACTCATGGATAATTTGTTGTATGTCTACTGGGTAAATGAGAAGTAAAAGAATATATTGATGTTTCTCTATAAAATTCTTGAGGAAAAAAGCATGCTAACGTATGAAAACAATTCCAGGAGACAAACCAGGTTAATAAGACATTACCCTCAAGTGGACAAAACCAATTTATTGTGTTTCCACCGGGTAATAGCAATATTCTTTAAGAACATGAAACTTCTTTCTTCTGTTCTGTGGCCCAATTTGTCTGCCTAAAGTGGCCTTCCCGTTCACCCCATCCCATACCTGCCCCAATTACTCTCTATAATAGTACCCTATTTCACAATGGTCATATAAATCATCACTATCTGAAATTATCTTTTTATAATGTTTGTTTATTTGCTGTTTTCCTCCAATAGAATAAAATCCCTATAAGAAACAGAACATAAAACAGTCAGCAAATAATGTTTTAATTTTTGAAAGCTATGAGGGAGGACCATTTCCGGGTAACTACTTCTGTGTTTAACAGGATATAGGTTCCAATGTAAAATAATTAAATTGGTATCCTGGATCTTAACACAGTCATTTGTGAGTTTAATTAACAAGAAATAAGTCCCCTAAGCCTCACCTTTGCTGAGTAATGGTAACAATAATTGTAACTTAAAGAGGTTTTTGAACCCCCCAAGGTAAAGATGAGACTAAGATAGAGCTATACCCTCTGAGGCATAGCCAGAAATACTGAGACTCTTTTTTTCTATATTCAATGTTTCAGCCCACAGTTCTTCTAACTCTACCAAGAGAACAGTAATAATAAATTATATCCCAGTGACACTCAGTTATGAAAAATAAACATTGCAGCGTATCAATTTTTAAAAGCCATTTTTTCATTTGTTTTTTCCTCCACTGTTTATTTGCATTTTCATACTTTTTCCCAAGATTACAGATTCACAGAAAGCTGCAAAAAAGGTTCAGGGAGGTCTCCTACACTCTTTATACAGTTTCTCTCAATGGTACTATTTTTGAACCATGAACATAGAAACAGAAAACGGGATCTAATCTTTCTAAGTACCTACCAGAATGAGAATAAATCTCATGCCATCACTCTTCATCTGCTCAATCAGGAGACCAAGGTTTTGAAAGCTAGGGCTGAGGGTGAAGTCCAGCTTCCGGTCCATGTAATCGATGTCTACATGCTGGACATCCTACGGGGAGGAACATGCAAGATGCTTGGGATCTGGCAGAAGGTACTCCTCAGGGCACACGAGCTGTTCTGCAGGCTCCAGGTCCTGTGCTTACTGACCCCAACCCGGTCCCTCATAATTTCTTGTCTCAGTACTCCCCTAGACTGACTTTTCAATTCTCTAATTAAAATTGCTTTCTGATCCCTGCATCCAGCTCACCTGTCCCCACTCCTTCTGCTTCTGTTCCCCCAAGTGGAATTCTCTCCCCTTTCTTTCCTCCAATTCATGTCTTTTCCACTCTTCTATCTCAAATTCGGTGCGCTTATCAAAGTGCTAGGTGAATTTTCAAGGGTAAAAGCAGGACTTCCCCCGAGAAACAGAAAAGATTGTGTATCTGTTTCTTTTTAGTCCTCCAGTAAACCTGACTGAATTTATTCACATTTAGAACTACATTATTTTATAGCTTTCTAGAATGTATATATTTCCACCATCTCCATTTGACTGGATGGTCCTCAAGATGAGAACCTTATCTTCCCTTTTCTCTGCACATGAAAGTCATTCAATCAATGTTGAATGATGGCCAAAGTGGTTAATATTCGGTTGAAAAAAGAGATGCTTCGTTTTAGTCGGAAGGTGATAATCATGTATATTGCCGTAAGACTCTAGGAAAAACTTGTTTACAGGAGCAGAGACTTGTGCATAAGCCAAAGCTTGGAAAAGAATGAACCAACATATTATTAACACTGATTGTCTTGGTGAAGTATATTTATGGACTTTTTCATCTTTTAACTTTCCAATCTTTTCTAATTTATGTTTAATAAGTATCCAGTATAGTGGTATATAAAAAAAAATTAAGCCTGGATGAATGTTTCAAATTATCTTTGATAAGAACATCATAACATTTTATTTTATTCTCATCTTCCAATCATTAATTACCCTCCAAAATCTCAGGAGGTGATTTGAAAGCAGAGAAAAAGAATGTGTGATGAGAAACTGATCATTATAAGAGGACAAAGAACACACTATTTGCGGAATTCTGCTTGTTGACTGCAACTGACTGCACTTCTATGGACTTATCTAGGGGATAGGTTGTCAATGTAGGATATGCATGTATTTAAGAGAAAACAAAGGCTTGATTTTAACTGATTTTTTTCATATTGTCACTTTATATTCATCCTCTCCAAAAATAGTCACAATATGATTCTCCTAAAATTGACATAATCTTGACATGATTCTTACTTAGAAGTCTCCATAGTCATGGTTTAAACCCAGCCATGGCTACTGTAGGATATTCCTGGCAAGAGGCAGTGAGTAACAATATCCTCCAGTCACACGGCTAACTGCTGAAGGATTTATGCAACTTTCAATTTCGAACCCTTGATTTAAAAGAGTGGCATGAAATAAATTTAAAAAGCAATGTTTCCACACAGGACTAGTTCCACAGCTACTGTTTCTTTATACTGAAGTAGTCATCCATAATTTCTATGAAGATATTTCAATCTGTAATTAGCCACAAATTCCCATAACTAATTAAACCTCAGGCTGAGTGAGGGTGTCATACATAGGGAATCTGGGCTGCCATCATTGCATCATACAAGTCGGAGATTTCAGTATCATTCTGGTATCCATAGCGACTCAGCTGGAATCCCAAGGCCCAGTAGGGAGTCATTGCTGGCCGACCGATCAACTAGAAAAAAAAAAAAAAATGGATCCAAGTAGACTTCTCAGGAAATAAAAGATGGGTGGCTTATACTTGAAGAAACTTGAGCACTTCTACTGAGTACTGTCTGATCTCAGAGGCCTTACTCAAGAAAAATAAGAAAGTCAAAGAAATGTGGAACAACCATGGGGACGTAGATTGATAGAAAATCTCCCTATATTCTAGAGCTTTCCACCCTAGGAACCCTGAGAACTCAGTTGTTATTACTGATTAGAGATTCTTATAAAGGCTATTTAGCAAATAATAAGAGACATATGGGATATCAATATGCCTTGATAGCCCCTTTACACTAAAACCTGACTTTCAGAAAAGACAGCAATAATGTAGGCAGGACACCCAAGAGCCTTAAGAAAAATAATTGGCTTTTCCCAGTGCTAAGAACATGGTAATACCCAATAAACATTTGGTAGTTTATCAATGGATAGAATGACTTCCGACCTCAGTGTATTGCTGAGTTACAAGCTCGGGGGTTGGTCCCAAAACCATATAAAAGTCCAAAATCCCTCCTGTGGTGCGGTATGTCAGGGCAGGAGTAGGCTGGAATGTCACATCTGTTAAAAAAAAAAGATAGAAGAGGAGGACCATCCTTGGAACTATAAATCACCCTATCCGGGAATCTGTCCTAAAGTTTGCTGTTTTCACTCTTTCTTTAATGCCCACCTCCTCTAGAAAGTCTTCTCTCATGCAGTGGAATCAGAGATGAATTTGCAGGTACTCCAAACATAATCTTAATGTCAACATCTTAAATCTTTCTGTGAAAGGGAGCTAAATTGTCACAGTAAAATACGGTCATACAAGACTAGGGACCATGTTTAGTCAAAATTTTACCCCTAATACCTGGCCTAGAGCTCTTAAGAAATCTTAAATGAATGAATGGAAGGTCAGTTTATTTGTCCCATTTCCTTTGCCCTTGAACTTCTTTACTTCTATTGATATTCCAGATCCTGATAAAGTGGTCACAGCTATTTATGGTGGTATATGGGGAATGTGCCTCTGTCTTACCCATGGCATTGCTGTTTAGCAGGAGCACTCCATGGGCACTGCCGTCCTCCTCCAGTGCCATATAGTAGGGGTGGATGCCATAGGAATTCTTCTTGTACTAGGAGAGTCATGGGGGAGAGCAGGTGGGTAATCAAAAAGAGAAAATCCAAGAAATTGTCTCCACCTCATAACCCAGACAGCAAACTCCTACTCGACGCTGAAGATTCAGCACAACGGCATGTCTTTTGTAAAGCCTTCCTTAACCCTCCCTTCCATCCCAAGTAAAGAGCTAAGTGCCCTCCCTGCTCCATACCCTCTTTGTTTATCATTACGTAATTCTACTATAGTACTGTTTACACTGTTACCATTATTTCTGCATCTCTCTCTCTCTTACTAGCCTATAAGCTTCTGGAGAACAAAGACAATGTTTTATTAAATTAGACAGTGTCTTATTCTATGTGTGTCTGACACATAGAATATATTAAATAAAAGTTTATGAAATAAATAAAATCCATAGTCCACAGGAAATATATATATATATGTTTGCATAACATTTGGCTTATTTCACCTGAAAGCACAATTTATCAATATAAGGTGAAGCTTATTAGTAGGGTACTATACATGGGCATATGGAGTGAAATAAATTCATGTAGAGAGAAAGTGATTGATAATCTTATTCTTCTGCCCTTACCGCTGGTGGCTCATCTCGAGCAAACATTCCCCACGTGTGCCAGCTCATGTTTCTTTTGAAAGCTGTGTGCTCAGTTTCCCCAAAGCCGTAGATGTACTCAGAGGGGAGGCGGGTAGAAATGGAAAGGAACATGTCGTTGAAGGTGAAGCCAGGGAGCTGAGAATCCCAGCTACAGCACAAAGGCACAAACCAGACCAAACAAGAGATACATTAGGATGCCTAGTTGCTTCAGAAGCCTCCTGAATGACTGCACATCTGGCTCCAGGTTCAGATACTGTGAGATGACCCAGGTCGCAACGGCCGTGACTCACTACCATGGTTCTGTGTTTGCATTTCTATTCTGTAGTATGGAAGACTGAGACTCCTTTTCTGGGTCATGAGCTCCTGGAGGGCAGGGACCATGTCTCATTCATCTCTTTATTCTAGTGCTCATTGCCTGGCATATCAGCATGAATAAATGTCTGAATAAATGAATAAGGTCTAACCAAATTTTCTGGCAGAAAAGTGTGAAACTCTTATAACTACTTTTCTGGATTGGCCAAAGAACTTCTCATCAAAGAGGGCAATAGACAGAAAATCAGACACACAGTCAAAGAGAGCTGAAGGCTGTCCACATGTGCACACACAGGTGACAGTTTCTACTAGTATGGGGCACGTAAGCCACAGGCAAAATCCAGACCTTTACTTCATTCCATTCAGCAGCAGGACAAGGGATAAGAAATGACAGCTCCTTTCACGCTTAACATTGTGAAAAGGCTTTAAGTCTATGGTGTCAACAGAAGCACAGACCGTAAGATGTCATTTTGCTCTTGTTAGTAAACTTTGCCCCTCTCTCCTGACTCTTCTGTCATTGTTTTTAATGAAGTGTATATAGAACTGATTTTTATCTTAGGTTATCTGTTGTACTTATTAAATAGAGTTTATTGTTCCACCTAACAAGAACAATAAGTATAACATGTATTTTTCTTTCTCTGAAATCAAACACTTAGTTTTTTTAAACCTCTGATTGATTAATTTTTCTTGTTGAGTTAATGACTAATAGAAAACGAAATCCCCATTGAAGTAGGGAAATAGATATACTGTCTGTTGAACAAACACACACACACATATTTACCTAGAGTCTCTAAGATTAATATTTCACTCGCATTAATTAGAACCACTGTAACTAGATCTAGAACCACTCTAATTAGAACCAAACAAATAGTGCTTACATCACAGTGTTGGAGCTTTTTCGTCTAATCTGGATCCCGAAAGGATTGCTCTGAATTCTGACATCGTACAGGCAGTTTTCAGGGGAGCCAACTGGAGAGGGAGGGGTGTTCAGAGGCACTGGGACCTCATACCTTTTATTAGTGGGATCATAGATCTGACAAGGAGAGAGAAGGAAACTTTCTGATGGAATCTCAGACCTAAAACCCCCCATGCCAGCTCATATAATTCAGTTCCCATGTTTTCTGGCCAGTTTGAATCACATCAGGAGGCATCAAATACCCGAAAGCAAATAACTGTGAGGTCTACCCACCCACGGTGCCTGATACAGATCCCGAACTCCAAAAATGCCTCAGTAATACCCATTCAAAGCCAGGGAGGGAACTTCCTCTAAAGAATTTGTGATTTAAGAGTATAGAATCTTGTGGATAGAATGTGTGGGTGTGTTTATGAGTGGGTGGTATGTGAACATGTATGTGCATGTAACTGTGTAAGATTATGCGTGAGCATGTGCATGTGTGTTGGAAATTAGAGAACTGAGTTTTCATATGGACTCTGAGGTCTTCTTCCTGGTTGAGCTTCCAGATGTCGCACAGCTTTGCCATTCCTAAGATTGCTCTGTGGTACCGACCACTTGTTCCTACTGACCTAACAGGACTGATGTGTGGGGAAGAGCGAGAGAAGTGATCTGTGCCATGCAAGATCAGGGAGTATTACACTACGAGCAATCTTCCTCTTCTTTGTAATATTATTAGCCCACATATTACGATTAGGACAAGTTTTGTCTAAAGCCTCACTTCTCAAAATAGTGTTTCTCAGACCAAAAGTAGCAGTATTACCTGGGAGCTTGTTAGAAATGCAGAATCTCAGGCCCCACCCCAGACCTTCTGAATCTGAGTCTTCGTTTTTACAAGATCCATATGGTGATTCATCCAACACTAAATTGTGAAAAGCAATGTCTAGCTCTGAGCTGTCCAAGGCAGTATCCACTAGCCACATGTGGCCATTAAGTACTTCAAATGTACTAGCCTGAACTGAGACTCACTATAAGTGCAAAATACACCCCAGATTTTTTTGTGTGTGTGAGGAAGATAGGCCCTGAGCTAACATCTATTGCCAATCCTCCTTTTTTTTTTTCCCCCAAAGCCCCAGTAGATAGTTGTATGTTATAGTTGCACATCCTGCTAGTTGCTGTATGTGGGACACCGCCACAGCATGGCCGGACAAGCAGTGCGTCCATGCGCGTCCGGGATTCCAACCCGGACTCCCAGTAGCGGAGCACGCGCACTTAACCGCTAAGCCACGGGGCTGGCCCCTACACTCCAGATTTTGAAGACTTAGCATGATTAAAAGATTCTAAAGTATCTCAAAAATTGTTTTTGGATTACAGGGTGAAATGATATTATTTTAGCACATTGGTTAAATAAAACAGTAATAAAATGCTAAATAAAATTAAAATTAATTTTGCTTGATTTTTTCAAATACATTTTTTAAAATATGGCTATTAGAAAACATGTAGTTCACATTGTATTTCTATTAGAACAGAGCAGTAGGTATCAAAGTGTGGCCCCTTACCTTGCAGCATCAGCATCATCTGGAAACTTGTTAGCAATGCAAAGTCTTGGGCTGAAAACCCTGGGGGTGAGGTCCAGCAATCTGAGTTTTAACAAGATCTGCAGGTGATTCTGATGCATGCTCCAGTTTGAGAACCACCGCTAGAGAAATAACTCTAATGTTGGAAGTGAGTTAATGCCACTCATATGAGATTACCACAGAGCAGACACATTTTTCTCAGGGCTAATGGATGATTCTTTGAGGATGTTTATGACTTAAGAGAACTCATCATTATAGGAAATTCACAATCCTGATGGATCTAAGGTCGCATCCTGGCTCTAATATTTCCTAACTTTCTGACTTCTACATCTCTGGACCTCAGCACTCTCATCTGCAAAATGGATGTTTCGATGACTTCCATCTGCACGGAGCTGTAAATTAGGAACTCCGTGTTGAGGAGCAGAATCTGCAACACGGGATTACCTTGAACTGCAGCATGTTTTCTGTGTGGTAGATGACACTCAGTTGGAGGAAGCTGATCTTTGCAGAGAGAGATTCAGAGGCGGCGGCTGCTGCTGCTGCGGGTTGGGATGGCACACCCCGTGATGATGGTGATGGTGGTGCCGTTGCTCGTGCTGACTCAGGGGCTGTCAGGAGGGCAAGGTCTGTGCTGATGCCCGTGGGCAGGTACTGAATATTGCTAGCAGCATAATTAGGGATAGTGTCATAGTAACAGGTGGGCACGCCAGGAACAGTTGTGTGCTGGAAGAAGAGGAGGAATTCAGTCAGCCTCTGACACCACATTCTGAGGCTCTAATTACTGATGTTGGTTAACACAGACTAAGTCTCTGATGCCATGCCCATTATTATAGGTTAAATTATATGTTCCCCAAAAAGGGTGCTAAGTCCTAACGCCTCATACCTATGAATGTGACCTTATTTGAAAACAAAGATTTTGCAAATGATCAAGTTAAATGAGGTCATTAGGGTGGGCCTAATCCAGTATGACTGGTGTCCTTACTAAAAGGGGAAATTTGGACACAGAGACAGATATGCACCTGGGAGAATGCTAAGTGAAAATGGAGGCAGAGATCAGGGTGATATTTCTGCAAACCAAGAAACACCAAAGATTGCCAGAAAACCACCAGAAGCTATGAGAGAGAAATGGAACAGATTCTCCCTCACAGCCCTCAGAAGGAACCAACCCTGTTGACATGCTGATCTCAGACTTCTAGCACCCAGAATTCTGAGATAATAAATTTATGTTGTTTTAAGTCACCCAATCTGTGGTACTTTGCTCTGGCAGCCCTGGCAAATGAATATATTCATTTAAAACACACACACACATTGGCCTCCTGTAATGGGTGAGTGGTGAACGGCCAGCAGGAAGCCTCATCTGGAGACGGGGACCCTGAGGCAGGGCTCTGCTCCCAGGGTGCTTATTGCCCCCATTGTAATCTGGAGGAAGTCACTTATTTTCTCTGGCTTTCTTTCTCTCTATTTTTCAAGTGGAGAGAAACCGCTGTATCTTACCTTCCTGCTTGGACTCTCCAACAGATGAAAAAAAAAAAAAATTAGAGTACTCAATGCACAATGCATACCCAATGCATTATTGCTACGCTAAAGAAAAAATGGGAGTTTAAATGCTGTGGTTGGAGGAAAGAGAGAGCCAGAGTGGCAATGAGTTTCTTCTGAATCAGGATATCTGAGGAAAACACTGATCACCTATCACACGGAGTTGACAAAATAAAATTCCTCCGTTGGCACAGTATCATTTTTTTCCTGAAGAATGATTACTCTCTGAAGAATTGTTGATGGATTCAACCCATCAACACTTGGAAAGTGTTTTCTGGGTGCCTAATTACTCACAGGACAGTTTTTACAACTTCCTGCTCACTGTGGTAATCTGCTTCCAATTGTTACCTCCCAAAGGCACCCCCGCTGACTGCAGCTCTCCTCGGAGGCAGTGGGATCCTCAGGGTAGCAGTTGAACTTCTCCAGGTCACTGACTGGAAGATTCCACTCGATGGAGAATTCTTGTCCTAGTACCAGTCCCTCGAGATCAGTGATGCTCACCACCTGAAAGAGAAAGGAGGCCCTGCTGACAAACGAGGTGAAGTAGAGGCACCTGGATAACGTTCTTTCCTGATAGTCTGGAAGTCAGGACTAGGGAAGCTAGACCTTCGTCCAATACTACCTTGCCATGGGTTATTGGAATATTATTTTTTCTCCTCTGGGGCTTTTGACTTTCCTGTCAGGAAAATGAACTTGGCTTATTCCTGACCTTTCTCACCTCAAGGAGTGACTGTGGAATATTGAATGGGAAGGGCTTTGATCATGGTAAGGAGTAGAGATCACAGGCAGGGCTGTCATTTTCAGATTATTGTCCTCTAAGTGGGATGCTCACGCATTTTAATAATGGCGGCAGTAATATCAATAGCATAATCCTATGCTGTGAATAGTATGGCTATCTCCATTTTACGAGATAGAAAACTGAGGTTCAGAGAGGTTTAATGCTTTGCCCATGATCTCTCAGCTAGGGGATGGTAAAGCCAGGACTGGAACCTCATTCATTCTGCCTAACTCTGGAAATCAAGCTTTTATTCTCTGCTATATGAGTTGTCAAAATGGAATGGGCTGCTGCTCTAAGAAATAGTGAATTTCCCAGCACTTGAAATAGTCAACTAACAAATGGAATCTTTCATCAGAGATTATCACGTAAGGAAATCTATCCAATAAAACTAAAACCAGATTATCCCTTGTGTTTTATCCAACTCGCATGTTCTGTAATGGTATAAAAATAGTTTAAAACACTAAGGCAAAATATCAACTGTGTCTCAAAGAGAGTCTTTAACTTAAATGAAAGGACAATTGTGTAAATACTCTCCAGAATTAGGCCAATGTATTGAATAATATTTTCACTATATCACATCTGGGATCGGCATGTCTAGTTTTAAATTTGCCCAGAAAAGAACTTCCTTCTTTCAAGGTCCCAACTCCCACTGTCTTCTTTGGAGTTCCAACACAAACAAAGCCCAAGGGTCCACATTGAGCACGCACATGTTTCTCCCTCTTCATCACCCCTGTGAAATGGTAGATTTCCCACAATCCAGTTGTCTTTGTGACTGCCCAAAGTCAAAAGATCAAGGGAGAGCTGGCTGTCAGAATCTCAGGCCAGGGCTTTCAGCAAGGGCCCTGCAGGATGGAACAATCTCCCACCTTTGTTGAAGCACTGTAGACAACGTTTGAAATGGAGGTGGCAGCATTATTAAATAAGACAGTAAAATTAGTAGGTTCCTTGTCCATTCCCAAGATTGTGATATCTGTAAACATGAGGTTGTCAGGGTCCGTATAATTATTGTTTGTAATTTTTGCCTGTAGACGGTTCTGGAAAAAAAGAAAGTCAATTCAGGGACCTGGTACATCACACTCTAATTGTGCCCAAATTCCACTTAACATCTTGCTCTCTGAGATCTAAGGCACGTCCTTTATCTCTGGGGTTCTAAATGCTGTCAGGTGACCATCCCTAGGGTATTTTTTAACTCACACTCTTAACAGTCCTAAATATTTTAGTAATAATTCCTGCTCTCTTTGGTTCACTGGTTATGTATTGATTCTATCACTCAGAAAATATGTTCCTGACATCATGGCATTGTTAAGAGGACAAGATGGGTACTCAAAAAGAAAGCAAAAGGACACAAGCACAGAGGCCCATTGGCACACCAAGGTATGGACATACACAAACACACAACATCGTGCCCAAATAATTTTTTCTTTTTATTTCAATGATAATGATGACAAGAGCTAAAATTTATGAATGCTTACTATGTGCCAGGCACAAAGTATTTTACATGTATTATCTCATTCGATTCTCACAGCAAACTATGAAGTTGAAGCTATAATAATCCCCATTCTTCAGATGAGGAGTCTGAGGTTTAGAGAAATTAAACAACTTATTCAGGGAACCACAGTTCAAAAGTGACAAAATTGAGCTATGACAAAGAAGGTGGAACTGAAGACTGAAGAGAAAAAGGACACTTTGATGTTTAAAAAGACTAGATGTCCCATAAACATGCCCAACTAATTTTTTGCAAAGGTGCCAAAGCGATGGAATGGAGAAAGAGTAGCCTTTTCAACAAATGGCGCTGGAGCAATTGGACATACTTAGGCAAAAAGTTGAAGCTCAACCTAAATCTCACATCTTATATAAAAATTAACTCAAAATAGATTATAGACTTAAATGTAAAAGGCAAAATATAAAAGTTTCAGGAGAAAATATTCAAGATCTAGGGCTAGAAAGAGTTCTTACACCAGACACCCAAAAACATCATCCAAAAAAGAAAAAAAGGTAAATTAGATCCATCAAAATTAAAAATTTCTGGGCTAGCCCTGTGGTCTAGTGGTTAAGTTTGGCAGGCTATGCTTCGGTGGCCTGGGTTCGGTTCCCGGGAGCGGACCTACACTACTTGTTGGTGGCCATGCTGTGGCAGCAACCCACATACAAAATAGAGGAAGACTGGCACAGAAATTAGCTCAGGGCAAATCTTCTTTAGCAAAAAAAATTAAAAACTTTTGCCCTGTGAAAGACTATTAAGAGGATAAAAAGAGACACTTACAGACCAAAAGGAAATAGTTACAAACCGTATATCTAACAAAAGACTGGTTTCTCGAATATCTAAAGAACTCTCAAAACTGAGCATAAAAACAAGTCAAAAAATCCAATTAGAAAAATGGGCAAAAGAACTGGATAGACATTCCACCCCAGAGAATAAGAGAATACACAGATGGCAGATAAGCACATGCAAAGAAGGTCAACATCATTACACATCAAAGAAATACAAATTATAACCACAATGAGATATCACTACACCCTTAACAGAATGTCTCAAATAAAAAAATAGTGACAACGTCAAATGATGGTTATGATGCAGAGAAACTGGGTAACTCACATGAATGTTCATAGCAGCTTCATTTATAATAGCCCAAGACTGGAAATAGCCTAAATGCTCTTCATCAAGTGAATGGTTAAATAAAATGTGGACATCTATATCTTGGAATGCTACTCAGTGATAAAAAGGAACATTAGTTTTTACACAATAACTTGAATGAATTTTGAGGGAATTATGCTGAGTGCAAAAAGCCAGTCCCCAAGGAGACACGCTACATGGTTCCATTTACATAACATTCTTAAAAGGACACTATTATGGAAATGGACAACAGATTAGTGTTTGCCGGGGGCTAAGGCAGGGGTCAGGGGAGGAAGCAAGAAGGTGCGGCTATAAAAGGGCAGCACAGGGGATGGTTGTGGTGATGGAAATGTTCTATATCTTGGTAGTATCAATGTCAATATCCACATTGTAAAATTGAGCTATAGTTTTATAAGATTTTGCACCAGGGGAAACTGAGTAAAGAGTATAAGGAAATTCTCTGTATTATTTATTACAACTGCATGGGGCTTCGTAATTATCTCAAAATAAAAAGTATAATTTAAAAATCAATATGAATTTCAAATAAAGGAGAGAAATCCCCACAAAAGAAATTTCTGCCCATGCACAACCAGACTTCTAAGAAAACCAAATTAGACTTTTCCCATCCTCTACAAGCCTCTGCCTTTCTTCCTCTTATTCCCCTTGGGAAATAGAGATAAGGCAAGTGATGTTCTGTATCTTCCAATCTCTCAAAACTGCCACTCAATACCTGTGCCCTAGGCCAAGTTTTAGGTGCTGGAAAGGAAGGCCATTATGGAAGAACCTCAAAAAGGCGCCACACTACTCATCACCCCCACACACCACACCCCACATGCCACACACACCTGCGTCCCCTCAAATGAGGACGCATCTTAGAAGCCAGGACTCATTACATAAAACTTAAAGGCGGTAATTTTCTTTCCAGAAAAAAAGAAATTCTTCACTGATCTCATACTGATTTTTTATATGCTTATGTATCTAACACAGATTAAAAACTTTCATTTTAACTTTAATTCTTTCTGAGACCATCATAGTCAGGCACTGTCCCGATTCCATACGACTGAGCATCTATAGAAAACAAGAAACTCGAAATGCAATCACAGAAAAGAACGTACACTGTGTGTTGCTCAAAAACAATACTTACAGAGGTGACAGAAAAGTCATACAGAATATAATTCTTTTTAGTTACAGCATCTAAAAGAGAAAGATAGAGGAGCGCCCATTACTATAGGAAGCAGAGGAGCTGTGCAGTCATGCCTTCTCTTCCTTTGGAATGCCTCTGCCACCTAAATCTGCTCTCCCAAGTTCTAACCCCCATTTTTGTCAAACCTCCACAGAAGTTTCCTGGACCACTTCAACCCACAGTAACTGCTTCCTCCTCTGAATTCCCATGGCACTTTGTGGTACCATTTTGCGGGCATCTGAAACATTTTGACTTGCATTTGTAGTTATCCACATGCACACTGCATCTATCTTGCTGGACCAGGAGTTCCTCAAAGGAAATGTCTATGTCTCATTCACCTTTATATCCCCTGCATACAGTGCAATAATAAATAGCCAATAAATATTAATAAATGCTAATTCTAGGCAGGGCAGGATTTTTATATAATTACAGATCACAAGCTGACGTGAGGTACTTATATGCAAATCTTACAGTGGAAAAACACACTACACAAATCTGATACCTCTCCCTCAATAGTAATCAAAGCAGTATTTCACAAATCTAGTAATAAAATGTATTGTTTCGTATGAATAATGATACCCAGAGAAGAGAATAAACTAAATCCAATAACGTCTGTTGCTGTGATACAGTCAATAACATGAAGTTGCTCATTTGAAGTCTATTTTAATGCATTGTGCTTGGCTAACCAAACTTTAAGAATAAACTGATTCTAAGCCTCAGTAATAATATGGTTAGTGCCATATCGGGCAACATGTAATGACTAATTTTTACAGAATATCGCAGGGAAGGTACCATAAGGAAGCCTACCTTTAGATACCCCATCATCCCAGTACAGTTCCCCCGTTGCTTCTCTCTTATAGTCCAAGGCAATAATGAGTCCCAGGGAATTCTTCCGACTGTAAAAGAGCAATTCTCAGTTTCAGAGAATGGGGAAGAGATAGAACTATGTTAAACCGGCCCCTTGCATGCCCCAGGGACAGATCATCTCAGAGTCTATCCAAGAAACTGTGTAGATATTGACCTTGCATGGAACCATGGAAGCTGGCTGCGGGACGACAGCAGAGGTTAGTAGTGAATGAGCATAGAGGAATAGTCAAGGAAGCAGTTCCTGTTGAAAAGTGGGTTTGTGATAATACTAATAATTAGCCCTGGTACTATGTACCAGGCATTCTTCTCAGGGCTCTATATACATTAAATCACTTATATTATTTCCTTTTACCCTCATAATAACTCTAAAAAGTCGAACTACCATCATCCCCAGTTTACAAATGATTAGCAGAAAGACAGATTGTAAATTGCCCATGGTACACATCTGGTAACACATCAAGTTTAGGGCTTCAACCTAAACTTTCTGGCTCTTGACCTTGAAGCTATGTTGACTTTCACGTGATAATCCTTATCTCCAATTTAACTTGAATTCTCTCATGCCTAAGGGAATCTACTTAAGGACAACTTCTGGCCATAAGGAAATTCTCAGGAGTGATTAGTTTGACTATTTTTATAATCTGATTCAATTCAAAGTGCAAGACTATGGAAATGGAAATGAATTCACTTACCCCCAGCTGAATGAGGGCTAAAATGCCAATTTAGGGCTGACCTTGAAAGGAGGGGAGGAAGATTACTGACTGGAGATGTTTTCCCTTTGCTTATCTACTTTTAGTCCCTATTTGCCTCTCCCATAATGCCCTGCCCTTTAGAGGACCAAAGCAGTCAAACCTTGAAGAGTGAGGAGCTTACCTGGTCTCTGTGGTTGTGTTTGGCTGCTGGGTAGGAAATATGTAGCCCCCTCGAAGGTGAAGTCCTATCTTTTCATCTGGGAGGAGCATCTCCACCAATTGTTTCCTCCATTGGATGGCTACTCCCTAACCAACAAAGGAAAACAGATCAGATAATAGGCTGTTTGGGATGGGAGGGATCTCGGAGATCATCTAGTTCAGTTGCCTCATTTTAAAGACAAGAGAACTAGAGCCCTCCAGAAGTGAAGCGACTTGCCCAAGGCATATAGGTAGTAGACAGCAGAACTGAGACCCCAACCCGCCCTATTTCTTTATCTTACACCATGCTGTGATTCCACAGCTAGACTTTAGTTCTCTAAGTTATCACAGCCTAAGGCTAATTACTAGTCCTGACAGCTGCATAGCAGCCAGGTTGATATAATGAAAATTCCCATAACCCTACCCCAGTTATTCAAATTATTTCATTGTACATTTGTAAAGGCCTTCCTCACAGAAAAGCACCCGCAACCAACTAAATGTAAAAAACCTTGTACTATCATCCTACCCCAAGCTCCCAAGGCTGCTGCCTTAGAATTGCCCTCTGCTAGAGGCAGGTCTCTGAGCCAAGCGGGGCTGCCTCACTTACTGTCTCATAGTCATACCAGATGGCATCAGGTATGTATGCCTGCACTTGGGTCACACCCTAGGGAAATAACAAAAATGAGCAATATTAGCATATCCCTTTACAGTTTACAAAACACCTAATGTGTGGTTGCATGAGCTTGTCTGAACACTCCTGAGAGATAATTGGGATCATCCCATTCTGCAAGTAAAATACAAATACAATACTCAGAAAGGCTGGGAAGTTTACCCAAGCAGAGCTGTACCTAGAAATTACTTGTTTTGCTTCAAGGCTCCTGAACTTCCTAAGAGAAGCAGAGAAAAGTCATTCACTGAGTTACTCATGTAATCTGACAGGTGCGAGGAGATCCGGCCAGCCAGGACCTCAGGAGAGCCGTCCAGGAGGACCACTTGCTGGTTAGCAGGACTTGCCATGAGATGGTGTAGCTAAAACACCAGCTTCAAGTCCCTTTGACATGAGTACATTTGCCATCTTTCATGTTTACACACTGATCAGCATAATCCTGATTTCTCCCCCACACTTCTCCATTCACCCCTGCTCCAAATCACACTTAGGTAGAGTATGTGTGGTCCTTCATACATGACCTCCAGAGAAACACCCTCCCCCTGCCCAGCATTCCTCTCTCTCTCCTTGTACTCCTCCCCACCTCTTCTCTTTTCCCAACCCAACCCCAAGAGCACATACCCTCTGGTCAAAGGGAAACACAGACAGATGGCCAGCCCAAACTCACCAAGACATTTAAAGCCACTGTCAATGCCATGGCCATATGCCTAAGGACACAGGATTTAAGGTAATTTGGCAAAATGGAAATTGGTTTGCTTGGTGGGGCAGTGGGACCAAGAATTACTATTTTTCTAATTTCCAAACTTTCATGACCTCTTTCTCATTTGTATTCATATTTATATTTAAATGCAGCCAAAGACACTCAGGATCCAGCTTATTCAGCCACAGAGCCATGAGGTCAAGTGTGATATTCCACCCCATTGTTCAGATTATAAACCCACTTCGTATAAAACAGGCGTGATGAGAAGTCCAGGCCCCCATAAGAACTGCTCGTACACCTCCCATGTAGCTGGGTCCTGGTAAAACCTGGAAAACAGAGACGGCAGGTAAAGCCTCCAATATAGGACAACAGCACCTTATGTGGCAACAAGGTCCTAACTAACCTTGTTAGTACTAACAAGGTAAATGAAATTACAATCTGAAAGGGAGTCTTTGAGGGTCAGGAAACTCACTCATGGACGAGGGGCCTTGCTACAGTCTCCCCCATGGTATGAGCGCGGTAGAAAAGACTGTAGAGATAAGGCAGGAGGGTGTAGCGGATGTTCAGATAATGTCTGGAGGAATTCAACAGCTGAGAGTTTTCACCAAAGGCAGCAGGATCCTGGTCCTAGAAGGAAATCACTAAATATTTCCATCATATTTTTAAAGTTTCCTTATGATAAGAAGCTTTCTCAGATGAAAGTAGCCATGTTCTGCAACTTGGAAGATGTCAAAGCATTTCCAGAACTGAAAGGATCTTGGTCTTGCTCCTTCATTTTATAGATGAGAAAGCAATATCAAATTACAGATTACCTGACTTTCCCAATGCAAAATTGCAAGCAAGTGGCAGAGTTTAAATTTGGCATGTCTTCTGAAGCCCAGTCTATGGCATCCTCGGGGTGATAAAGAAGCCCACAGAGGTTACTATGGAGATAAAGGGGCTATAGTGGGCCTTGCTCCCTCCAGAGCTGCTCCAATTTGTTTTATATAGAGAGGTTTCTCATAATACTTCATTCGGAAAATAGTCATAATAATAAGTCGTACTACTACTAAAAAAGAATTTGAAACCCATTGCCTTAAGCCACATTGCCTACCACCATGATCTGCAATCCATCATTTCCTTTCCATGCACTTTTATGGATTCATAATTTTAAAATTTATGTCTAGTTTTGTCTTCAATGTTTTCACCATCAAAATTTGCTTTATTTTCTCTACCCCAAAGACAGTGGCCTCTAGTTGTTCTTCAATATACAATGTGCAAAGACATCATGAAAACAATTTTTAGCAGATTTTATCCAAGAGCAAAGAAAAAAACCCTTTTCAAGGGAAATCTAATTTTTTTAGGACTCAGAAACAAAATTTTCCGTCAACGATGGGCACTCATTTTGTTCATTTTCCTTGTAATTTGAAAGATATCGAAGATACACATGCCGTATTTAGACTTGTATTACTGGACTGAATTTTAGAGAAAATTATCTGAATTTATTCCTTTCTTTTGTTCCCTAAGATGCCCATTCCCCTCCTCCAAATAGAACTACTCCAAGAGACCACTCCATGCACTCAACGTAGGGCTCATGAAAACCCTGAGGCCAAATACCAAAGAAAATAACACTCCACAACCTCCATCACTCTGGTCTCCAACTGAGAAAGTCTAGAGTTACACTATCCACTATGGTGGCCACGCTTCACAGGGGGCTATTAAACACTTGAGACGTGGTTAGGAAGACTGAGGAACTGAATTTTTCATTTTATTTGATTTTAGTTAATTTAATTATAAACCTAAAAACTGAATCAATGTAAAACATTTTTTCCCTTAAACATAACTTTACTGTTTTGGTAGGATTACACTTCACTTCAACTGCTGAAAATCTAGCATCCAAATTAAAATATACTGTGAGTGTAAAATGCACACTGAATTTTGAAGACTTAGTAGAAAGAGAAGAACATAAAATATCTCATTAATAATACTTTGTGTTAAACACAGGTTGAAATGATAATGTCATGGATATTCTGAGTTACATAAAATATATTAAATAATCGCTCTTCTTTCTTTTCACTTTTTAAATTCATTTAAGCTTACATGTGTGGCTCTCATTCTCATTCTGTTGATGGCACTGGTTGAGAGGAAAGGAAAACAAGCACTGTATCCTAGCAGCCTGAGCGATGTGAATGCTGTCATCTGTAGAAGCCCTTCCAGGCCATCTCTTCTGGAAGAGCACCCGCCCTACCTCCTCCCAGCCACCTGCTTAAAGGTTCAGAAATAGTTCATCTCTCTTTAGATCACAAATGGCTAGGAGAGCACAGGGAAAAAATACTTTGAAGATTTGGCTGTGAATCTTTCCCAAGTTAGAGACATGTCATTGGTCAAAGTCAAGAGCTGGAGCTAAAATGATCATCAGTAAGTTACTTTAATGAGCCTATTAGGAGCTAAACCACTTGATTTGAAACATTTACTCACAGATAACTTCATCAAAAAAAAGGCATCCTATGCTATGTACTCCTGCCATCACCAAATATCCCCTTAAGAGGGACTTGGAACCCACTTCTATATACTTGTCCATTAAAAATGTGATTTTGCACAAAAGAGGATAAAGGCAGGATGAGTCATGAGAAGTAGTGGGGTGTTCTCCTAAACCATTCATAGAATGCTAGAATGTTGTAACAAGGGGAAAAAATGTTCAGATCGCTGACATACACCTCCCTAAATCCTTCCTCCTTGCTCTCCCATATCTAGGAGTGGTTTCCCTTGTATTAATTGAAGCAAAATACCAGTGGACTCCAATTGTCCCATTTAATAAAAGGTGGAAACAGAAGTGATAGCAGCACCATAGACACTTTAACAATCCTTCTCCTCTTTGTTGGTGAGTTTCCAACAATAACACCATTCAATAATATACTTACTCCTTCCCACAAACCCTCACCCCAACACCCTGCATTTTAGGCCTATCACCCAAGATTTATCTATTCTGCTCCTGCACTTAGGGCCAACCTGTGGGATTTTCTTCAACCCCTCTTTGAGACTAAGTATATTAGGTAAGCCAAAAAGTTTCCATCACGTCTCTTGGGGACCTTACCCTGAACCCAGGCCCATTATGATTCCTTGATAGTGGATAAAATGCTCCAAGCTGCATCCACCTTCTGCAGAGTTCTTCTGTGACATCTTCTCTATAACCACAGATGTTGGCACCTACCTGGAGAACCAGCACACATATAAGCACAGTGGTCAGTGAGAGAGGAGAAAGCACTGACTGTGTACCTATATGATAAGGGAAAAGAGAATCTCTTATTCCCATTATCCCATGCTTAAAGAGGTCCCAGGCTTTCAGGGCAAGCCCCTAGTCAAATAGAAGAAGGAAGCAAGTGTGCATCATGCATCAACTGATGAGAGGAAAAGTGATTGTTGTATCAAGGGTTCTTCCTCAATATTCAGTTCCCAATTTTATACCTCGCTATTCACTGATGTTCTGTTGAGGGAATTTTTCTGTGATACTAATACATTTTACTCATTGTATCTCCTTCCTAACTTCAGAGATTCCATAGATGACAATCCAATGATAAAGTTTTACCATCCTATCTTCAGAAGGCAGCTCATGTTACACATAAAAATTGGTTTTTCCAATACCCGTCACAGTGAGACATATGCTCCTTGGTTTTCAGGCACCCTCAAAGTCTGGTGATAGAAAGAATGTCAAAGGACAAAGGGTAAAAGTTCCTTGGTTGAGAGTGAAACTCACCAGGGGGATGCCAAACAGGTTAAACTCAAGGATACTAGGGATGGACCATCGGAGATCATCCCATGTGGCCGCATTGTCCCCCAACCAATGAGCAACAAATTTGCCAGATCCAGCAAAAGTAGACCTGGATAAGATGAAGTTCCTTTTATTGGGGAAGACATTCTCCATGGCCCTGAAAAGGAATACAGTCAATTGAATGCGAAGTGAGCTGTGAATGTCTAGGACTCACTATACCAAGGGCAGCAATGGGCTTTCCAACCAAACTCAGAAAAAACATGAAGGTATCATGAATCAGGGGAGCAAATTAGTTCAGCATTTTTTTTAAACTGTTTTTTTTGTGTGTGTGTGAGGAAGATCAGCCCTGAGCCAACATCTGCCAATCCTCCTCTTTTTTGCTGAGGAAGACTGGCCCTGGGCTAACATCCATGCCCATCTTCCTCCACTTTATGTGGGACGCTGCCACAGAATGGCCTGACAAGCGGTGCATAGGTGCGCGCCCGGGATCCGAACCGGTGAACCCCGGGCCGCCACAGCAGAGCACGCGCACTTAACCCCTTGCGCCACCCGGCCGGCCCCAGTATTTTTATTTTCGTTTTTTTTGTGTGTGTGTGTGAGGAAGATCAGCCCTGAGCTAACATCCATGCTGAATCCTCCTCTTTTTGCTGAGGAAGACCAGCTCTGAGGTTTAGCATTTTTAAGAGCTTCTTTCTCACTTCTGGATAAAGTTTCAGACCTCACATAAGACAGTACAAACCTCTACAGTCCAGTCCCCCAAGGAATTTCTCTAGGCCCCTGTCCTCTTGATTATGTTTTCTCCATCTTATTGGATCTGGTTGTGCTCTGGCCCTTTGGGTGGACAATACATTGGAATCATGCTTGGGGTTCTTGGCCCCATCTTCTTGTCTACACAAAGCTTTTCCAGTGTCCCTTGGTTCCATGCCTTGCTGTCTATTCATTATCTCATTTAGCACAACATTAACTCAGGTTGGAGCCCTGTGCCTGCTGCCTGCCTAAGAAGAGACTTTGTACACCAGCTGGGCTCCAGGCACCTGGGTTCCTCTGAGGCTTCAGAATTTATTAGCAGCAATTCCCAATGTTAGGAAATCTTATTCTATGCAAAATAATATTAATTGAAATGAGTAAGTCTCAAAAGATGACATATGATACTTTTTATAAAGTTAAAAACAACTAAAATATTATTTTCATTGTATTATACATAAAATATTACATATCAAATAAAACTATATAGAAAGGAAAGCAAAGGAATTAAAAACACAGAATTCAGAATGATAACTACTTCAGGAACAGGGGGACATGGGGTGGGATAACATATAGTTAGACGTAGGCTATTTCTAGCTTTCATTCTGAGTATTCTTTTCCATAAGCACTTTACTGAAATGCCTCTTCCTCCCTTCTCTTTCCATGCTGAACAGTTCACGTCTTCCTTTGGTGTTGCAACATTGAACAATAAAACAACTACAGGTTGGTAATACCTGAGCCACAATTGCTGCTAGCTCTTTGCAGGCAAGCTCTCCTGTCTTTCCTTTCAATATATGGTCTGAGGCATGTGTATCACCAGGCACCAGGCAATTCCTCACACATACTATCACAACCACCACTGCTTCCCCACTTCATAGGCCTAAGGATGTATGGGGAGTCTATAAATGCAGAATGACTTATAATGGCAAAAGGGAGAAAATTCTGAAATAGAAGACTGGTTTAAGGAAATGAATTGCTCCATTCTCACAATATAATGACCAAAAAATGGGGATAGGTTGGAGGAGAGGACTCACTCTGCAACTTCTATCTTCATTTCTCCTTTGATATAGACTAGTGAATACCTTGCCTTTATTATCACTGGCTAGAGGTTTTATCGCAGTCTGCAATCACCAGTCACGAAAGAAACACATTCAGGTTATACAGAGTGAAACTGAAACAGGGATCAAGCTATCTGGGGTTACAGTTTATCCAGAGTCAGGCCATTTTGGTAACATAGATTAGATAACAGTCTGTTTTTTTTCCAGCTTAGTGGTAAAATCTTATTCAGAGATCCTTAAGTTTCTCCATCTCTCAGGTTTGTCCTATCTACGGTCAGGTCCTGATCTCTGAGAGGATCTAGTCTCCTGCTTTCAGCCTAGAGGGAGGTGAATTTAATTCTCTGAGTAGACCAGTAACCACTGACCCCAAACTATACTTCCAGCTAAGGTTGAAACAAACATTCATTGGATCTATGACTTAAGTTCCCCTGATGCCCAAATCCCATTGCATGAAAATCTTATCTGTTTTTTTAACCAATGCTGCCTCATGCCCAAAGGCCAAGTTCCAGCTATGTCCACTGTTCTCTGGGAACATAGGCCATTCTGCCTGACCCAGGGAGGTTAGAAGGGCACCTACTTTCTCAGTCGCAGTTACCTTTTAACTATTAACCATAGCTATTAGAATATATTAACTAACCCCATCTTGGTTTTATAGTGCCTTTATCACATGGAGACACTAGCAGTAAAGCAATTTAAAACTCTCTTTCCCTCCCCCTGCCTTTCCATACTCCTTCATTCTCATCCTGGTCATTTATCCACTCTCCCTCCCACCTTCCATTCTCAGCTTGAAGAATCTATGAGTCTAAATAGATCAGAACAGGAAGGAACCTGAAACAT